AGATAAATAAATACATTTAGCTGTCAGTAAACTGTAGATTATACCGATATCCGGACATATGATTGTCATCTGCGATGAGAGTTCACCTAAAAGTCTTATACAAAAAACAGTACAGCTTCCTTAGCTTCCTTAACAACATGCAACTTTATCACAGTACAGTAACCGTTGAATGTTAATCGCTAACGAACATTGCGCAATTTTTACAAACCTTTATTAAGCGGACTCCCTCTATTAAGAGGACACTTGGAAAGGTCCCGAAGGTGTCCGCTTAATAGAGGCTTAACTGTACTTGAAACGATATCTGGTATGTCGAGAAATTCTCCCAAAAGTTATGGCATGCGCAGAAGCAAAATTTGGACAACAAAGTTTCACGCCCCCCTCGACTTTTGCCTTTCATTTTCCCTCCTCCTAGTTTATTCCATTTTCGTTCCTTTTTTGGCTGGACATTTACTAAGCTTTAGTTATATATTTGCTTGTCTTATTTTTAGAAATATCTCTTTCCCCAACAACTGTTTCCTATTTTGCGTGAGGGAAACAATGGTGTCGCGATGACGCATGTGCAAATCTTTGGCTGTTACTGAATGCTGTAAACGGTGTTCATACATTCCTTTTTTTGGTGCTTTGATTTATCCTGCACTATCTGTCGGTTTTTTCTTCATCCTCCACAGTATATAAAGTAGTAAAATCATCAGCAGGGCAGCTTTTCGTTTCATCGCCGCCAAGTTCGGTTATCAATTCTTGCACTGTAGTCACACATTTCTCTCAGAAAGCTTTTCTCGTTTGTGAGATCTTTTTTAAAAGATAAATCCGGGCTATTTCGCGAATTCTGTTTATCTGTGAATGGTAGAGGGTGGACAGCTGTTCTGTTATATCAACTATCCTGATGTACATGTGGTAATCATTCCCCAGATTCAATTTCATAGGCGCTTATTCTCTTTACGGCACAGTTCTAAAGGACTAATGGATGGTCTTTACCAAGTGATCGGTAAAATATGAGTGCCAGATCTGAATGTTCTTCAAGTGAACTAAAAATTTTTTATCGATTTTGTGAAATCTAGTTGTTCATTTTCATAAGTTCCTTGTTTAAAAAGTCCAGCGGAGGGAGTCGAAGGGAAAGCTGTATGCAAATGACAATTGTGACTTCCAGCGTTGTTTTCCATATCAAAATTTACAGACACTAGATAAATAACTATTTCAGTCTTGTATGTTTCCGTTAAGAATTGTTTATCAGTTTAATAATATTTACATAAACTGAGACACAACTCAGTGAAAAATCAAACTTCGCCGAGTTTTTTTCCTACAATCTTGTTCTTTTTAAAGCGTGACAAGAGAAACGAAACAAAGAAATGCCGGTCAACGACAACAAGTAAGTACTCGGCACAGCCCGCTTATAACTCTGCTTTAAGTCATCTAAACGCAAAATGCACAATCTTTAAAGATAACTAAGAACAGCAACAGTTTTTAATAAAGTAGTTACACAATGCTAGCCTGCGAGCAGGCTGCCCCTCGCGTCTTCGCCGCTCGCTCGCGCGTTCTCGTGAGACTCGCTTCGCTCGCCCAAAGAGGAGAACTTGCTCGCAGGCTACACAAATGCAGGAATTTGTAAAATAATACTTTGACTTGGGCGACTGCGAGAAAATGTTCAATCTTGATTAGGCTTTCCTCGCTATATTACAGTCATGTTTCAATAAACTTCGTTGGGTAACACGTTTGCTGACTCCGCCAAGAGACCTTGTCTCGTATAAAATCACTTTTGGGATTTACAAACACAATTATAGCGCACCTTCCTTTTTTGTCATTGTCTGCCGTCAGTCTGCCGCTTGTACTTGAACTTGAACTTGGTTAGTTCATGTCCTTGAAATTATTGTTTAAGTATCTGGCCTTTAGCGCGAATATCCACGGCCTCTTTTCGTAACACTGGAAGCGTTACCGGTGACTCGTTCATGGTTTTCTCAGGCTTTCTTGCCATACTCCCTCTCGTCACATTGGTAAAGGTTAAAGGTTAAAGGCATGTTTATAGTGGAAGATGCACTTAGCTAGTCAGCTAATTTACAGGCACTCCACTCAAATATTTAGAAACAAATAATTCAAATACAACATAACAGGATTAAAAACCCCAACTGGCAGAAGGCAACCAGTTGGCTATTTACAAGCGTGGCCGAGAATTTAAACTCGGGACGACCGAGCACAAATCCAGCAAGTGGCCAGAGCGGGACTCGAACCCGGGACCGCCGGATTGCGAGTCCGACGCGCTGACCACTCGGCCACGCTACCTCCCTAGGTAGGGCCTCGCATTCTGCCGGCAGGGTTTCCCGTATAAGTGCATGCAACTTTGTCCCCCTAGGGTCCCCCTTTAAGTTATGTTTGGGATTTGAAAGGCGAGTTTGCAAGGCCAGCTGCCACAGTACTTCATGGAATATAGAAAAGCTCGTTTTATATTTACAAAAGGCGCTATTAGCAGGGGTGGTGTACTTCCCGGCAAGCTTTTCACTTCCTACGAACTTGATACCGGTTTGCTCTTTAGGCCCCGTTTATATGAAAAAAGTCAGTTGTTCCGTTGAAGGCGGGTCATTCGGTGGCTACCCAAGCTACCCTGGGGGCGAGTTAACTTTTCATATATATATTTACAAAACGTGGCGAACCGTTAACATGAGAAATAAAAAGCTGGCTCGGAAAGAAGGGATACCCTCCTAGCCTGCCAGGTCAACTTTTTTCCTTAGAAACAATTTGGCTCGCCCAGCCGGGTCAAGACTCAGGGTCAACTCGGTCAAGGCAAGATAATCAGAGCAAGTGCTCGGGCAAAGGGGTCAAAAAACGGTCAACTGACTTAGCAACAATGAAGCTTGTAACTAAGATATATTACAGTAACGTAACATAACATAAGAACTTTATTTAAGCGTCAAATGTATTTGCTGTGAAAAATGTAAGACAGCTAATTGGGGACACTAAGGTGAACGTAGTCCTGAATAGGACTGTTGTTGTTGACAGTGACTGACGTTTCGACAACCTGTGCGGTAGTTATCTTCAGAGTCAAAGTGAGTTGTATCACGCAGTTGATGGTATTAAACTCTGGTTATTGACCTAATACTTTGCGTATTCTTGCATTTCTTCCGTTCAGTGTGTTAGGAATTCAGCGATTTAGTCTTCGGATAGCCGTGAACGCCATTTTCTTTTTTATTTCACCCGAGGGGTTGGGAGAATTCTCGACAGTTAAGCAAACCCTTGACTTCGTCTCGGTTTGACAGAACCGTCAAGAATTCTCCTAACAACCTCTCGTGTTTAAATCTGTCTCTGCAAACAAGGAGAACGTTTTCCATTGCTTAATAGTTCTTACAACCAATTAAAGCGAAGCATGAAATATAATTACGTCGGCCGTGCAGGGTATCAGTTTTCTTGAGCTAATGAGCTAAGCCCGGGTTGTGTAAAATATTCCTTTTCCATTTTCTTCTATTCATTGTAATCTGTTTGAATAAGAAGTAGGTGGGAACTTTTCAGTAAGGAACTAAAACTAGGCTGATTAGTGATATAAATGCAACAGAAAAATAAATCACATTTCGAAATCATCATTATAATATGGTGATATTTAATCAAGGTACATTGTAAGTTTCATGATAATTGAAAAAATTTAAAACAAAAGTTGTATTCAATTCACGTGACCTACAAATAAGAAAACTAAACTGGTTTGATGCAGGGAAGAGTAAGCCGTCAAGACATCAAAATTTATTGAATAAAAAAGATTATAGAGCTAGAAAAACAAAAATGCAGGATTGCATTTGCATTTGGATGTACTTAAGCGGAGAACACAGCACATCATATTTGATTCTGGTATGCACAAAATTAAAATATGTCAGAATTCTGCCAAAATTTTTGCTAGTTTTCATCTTTTGTTTAGTAGATCCACTAGCGAAAATATATCCAAGGCTTCAAGGGCCTTCAACTGCTGTTACATTCTGCAACCAACTAACCAAATAAAGCATTTATTTCTCATTAAGTTTGTTGGGCTCTTTACAGAAAAGAAACCAGTGAGAATTGATTGAGGATATTAATAAGAGAGAACGTAAATAGCGTTTCACCGAAAACATTCTCAACGCGAACTCAGTTAACAACCAACTTCTGACTAGACCTATTAGCGGAAATTCAGGCGCTCAATGCCACTTTGCAATTTGAAGATAATCATCCCTGCGAAGACACTTCACAGGTGTTAAAAGTCATAGCAATTGTTCAGAAAATAATACATTAACCCTCGGTCGTACAAGCAAATTCATACCCCCACCGTGGTACAAGTGGCGGTTTGATGGAACCCCTCCCTAGAGTTTTTGATATGTTGTAGTATTTCGAAACGATTTTGCCTTCAGTGGAACGCCTGTGATCTTCTCTTATGGGAGGTGGCGCTGCTGGAGGCCTGGACGTCACCAACTATGGTCGCCATCTTGGATTTTACCAAGAATTAGAACCCACGTTAAATCTGCATGAAATGGTAATTTTTCGTGCCTGACATGTAAAATAACACATAAATAAGCATTTTGCATCATTTTATCCACTATCTTTATTTTTATTGTTGAAAGAAGTTGAAAAAACAAGCATTCTCACTCAAAAATGGCTTGACTACCTACTACTTATGACGACACATCTCGTAACCATAGCAACTGATCATCACTAAACTTGTCTCAAAAAGCGTGCGAGGGATAAACGAACAGCCACTGAAAATTCAGGTGCTGATATTTTATCGTCTAGGGAAAAACTCACAAAAACCTCAGAGCGGGGTGGCAACCACCCCCACTCCCCCCTTGTACTATTAAGATCTCATTAGACCAAATAGAGAAACTTTTATTAGCCATGGGGCTCACCCCTCATTGTTATAGCTTCAATCAACATAGTGTTTCGGCTCCGATGTTTGTTTAAGAAGGTAATTAGGAACAGCTAAAGAGCTCCCATTACTTTATATTGATACTAGCTAATCCTCATTTCTTGTCTTACAGGACCGAATCGAACTGACTATAATGGCTAACACTTCAAATCATAACTCTCCCTCTACGGCAACACATCACATTACCTCTTCTGGAGCAAAGGTATGGTGTGCCACGTTTGCTACCGAAGCTGTCCTCGTGGCCACAGGAAACTTGTTTATCATCACTGTATTTGTCAAATCACGTGAATTGTATAGACGGCCTCAGCACTTTTTTCTCATCAACTTAGCAGTAGCGGATTGCTTGGTGGGTGCATTTGCCGAACCGTTATTTGTGTACATCTTGGGCGGATTCTATAACCTGTGGAGTTTCAATGCCCAGACTTCTCTTGGCGATGCAGTTGTTCTGCTAGACATGTTTTCTGGGATTTCATCTGTTGCATTTTTAACGGCGATAGCTCTCGAAAGACTGTATGCAACAGTTCGTCCAGCCATCTACAGGAATGGGACAAAAAAATGGTTGTACGCGCTGGTAGCAGTTGCTCTTTGGACTCTATCTGCTGCCATCTCATTCGTAAGACTCATGTTTGAAAACAATTCTGAGTCCTTTTATGTTTGGATGCCTTTCGCGTGTGTTTTATTGCTCCTTATAGGATTATCCTATTTCATTATTTGGGTCAAATTACTATATTTCAGTCCCAAACGCCTACAACACACGCGTGAAAGAAAACTAAACGTAACTTTGACAATTTTAACCCTCACCTCTCTCTCAACATGGCTACCATTCATAATCTTGAATACTGTAAACATGTTCCGGCCGGTCAATCTCCAGGCTGTATACGCGACGAAAGTGTTGCATTATGGAAATTCTCTAGTAAATCCTTTCTTGTTTTCTTTAAAAATGCCGATGTTTAAAAAAGCTGCCAAAAAGATATTCTGTACTCCTAAACGAAATAACGTACAAAATTCTGGCTTTTCTACAAAAAATAGAAGAGATACAAGCTTGCAAAGCAATGATAAGATAACAAACTTAAAGGTAACTGCGGTTTAAATGAGAGACTGTTCAACAAGTATAGGGTCGGGTGGGTTGAAGTAAGAAAAAGCGGGGCCTAGTCGGTTTTTGAGTGGCCCTTTGTAGGGGGTGGGTCGTTCAATTTTTCAGGTACCATTGGGGATTTGATAATCCTATTCTATAACAGAGATTTAAAAGTCTTTGTCGTAAAGTATTTTGAAGGTTATTGTTAGGACTTGTCTCATCTTTTCAGTTTCCGGTTTGTTTCATTGAGTGGGTCAAGGCAAGTCCGGATTTTGTCCACACGAGTGTTTTATTCATCAGATAAGGCACAGACGTCAGTCATCGGCGTTAATGTATTCTTGCGCACGTTTTATAATGAGATTAGGCCTAAAACGTCTCTACTATACTACTATACTTGCCATAACTAGTCTTACCTTTTGGGCGAATCAAATTATGCTTTTTCTTTCTTGTATTCACATTATGAATGTTACCAAAAAGGTTTTTTGTTTCGAATTTTGCTCTGAGTTTTGGAATTTTCTATACTAAATTATGAATATTGTTAGACCTTGTTAGCATTGCTCTGATGTAATATGGCGCGAGATGGATGAGTGCCTAAAAACTAAGCTACTCTGTAAGTACTCCAGTCTTTTATCAAATGGCAAGATATTAAGTCATACATACGTAGATACATACATACATATTAATAATCACAGGAGTTCAGGCCTCAGGAGTAATCATCGATCATTTATTGGGACAGTGCCGTTTCGTATGGTCCGAAATTGTAGGACCACACTCATCAGGCAACTTCAATGCTCTTCAATTAAATGAATTGTGCGCTCTACGAAATACGCTATACCCAGAATACAAGTATTTACATAGTTACAGGGCTTTTCAGTAAAATATTTAAAAAGATAACATGACATGAAATAAAACAAAACAAAACAAAAAAAGGGTTCTACGTCTCTAAAAATTCAAATACAGGAACTTAGATTAATTAAATACCTAATGATTAAACTATTTAGTACTGGGTTCTAACGGCCAGTTGTGTTTTGTGATCTTATAAATTCAAATAGAGTCCATTAGAAGTCTATTTCTCATCAGTCTTAAATCGCGCTGACGATTGACCTGACTTAACTTAATATTTTGCGGCAGGGCGTTCCAGAGAGATACTATTCTATAATAAAAATTTCTTTGGCCAGTTACAGATCTAAATAAAGGAATATTTAACAACCGAGAGTTTCTACTTCAGTTGGTTGATACAGATGAGCGCTTAATAAACTGATCAGATAGATACTCCGGGACAAGGCAGTTCATAAATTTAGATGCCATAATTGGATAGCGATAGTACAGGTGTTGTTCAACTGGGAGCCACTTGAGTTGCCTGAGGATGGGAGTTTCATGGTCGTATCTCTGGCCCCCGCTGACAATCTTACAGGCCAAGTTCTTTCAATAAAGGTCGCGAGGGCTTGTCCTATTGGGATAAAAAGTCGCAAACCTCAGGGATGTTTACAAAAATTGCGAAAGTGGCGTGGACAGGTCACGAAACATAGCGTCATGATGCTCATACTAGACTATCAAATTGTGTAAACAATTTATTACAACTAAACAAATGTAAGAAGCAAGTGTTTTTTTTTTTTATAGAATATGGGCTATAATCTCCAAGAGTTTTGAAAGGATTTCCTGTTTGAGTCAAACGTATCAAAATGTTAATAAAGCGTATTGAATCTAATCGTCGCGCGAAAACCAAGGATATTATTATAGCTTATTATATTGCAACTGTTCACTATAAATTACGATCATTTTGTCAAAACATTTATTGCTCATGATGGAGATAAGTTCACATTGCCTTTCTCTTTGCTTCTTCGCCCCACAAACAAAGGAGAACATGGTTTTTATCCTGTAAATAGTCAAACAGAATCTATCACTAGGGTAAAGTGCCGTGAGCTAAAGTTTTTATCAACATCAACATTTTTAGGGCTTTATGCAGAGAATCTAGGAGGAGGAGCCGTAGAAAGGATGGGTGTAGCTTCTCCTTAATCGCTTTTTACAGAGTTAATAGAAAAAAAACTAGAAAAAGCCAACAAAACGGACACTAGTAAGCGTTTCAATGGTGTAATATTGGAAATGTGTTTCCTCGGGCGTCCGCATCTTGAAAATGAGGGAGGAAAAAATATCTAAGGATATAAAAAATTGCAGGATTTTCATGCGATGAATATCGTCACCCTTCTCACACTTTTACAATATAAAAAGAGACTTTATGTTACATTTTTTTCGGTTTTCCTTTTGTGTAGTTCAATAAAGACACCAAAGTTCAAGAATGACCATATAGTTCAATAACTACACGAGTTCAGAAAATGACATGAGTATCAATGTATGTTTATTAGGTAATGTCAAGGCAGGGGATCTACTGGGAGTGGGAGTGCAGGGCATCAGTTTAATTTTCAATCATTGATGCTTTTTAACTTACTTGGACTCCATGCTATTGTCAGTTACATCAAGTGACACTGTTTGCTTTAAAAATCTGTCTATTATTGTTAACTTATCTTACTTTTTGGTCCCCCCATCTCTACAGTCGATAATAAAATATGATGAGGTCATCCTTTAAAACAAAAAGCATCCTATCTGTTTGTTGAAGCCTTGTTTCATCAGGTGCGGGGAGGGAGGTGAGGTAGAGGTAATCCTTAAAAAAAAAAATAGCCATAGGGGAATGGGCGGGTTTTTGGAGAAAAGGCCTGTTTCCATTTCGTGCTGACGTCATTATGGTACCGTTTGGCTGAGCCCTATCTGCATTTAGTTATTTTAAGATGCCTGTTGCTTTCCCAGAAAACCATGAGATTGGGAGTCTTGCCCTATCAGCACTTTGCTAGTGTCACCAGGGGACTTCTGTAAATTATATAAATGAGTTACAGTACTTTCTCATTTCATTTTTGTTTGTATAAAGCTTGTTTTACTCATTTGATATCTTAAAATTTGAGGTACAATTTGCTCCGCACAAATAAAGATATTAATGCAAATGTATATCATCATATCTCTGGGAGTATTTCAAATGTTTCTGCCTTTTATTTGAATGGTACTTAGCTCCTTATACAGACCTGCCAACCCTCATAAAGGAAAATCTGGAGACTCATGAAAAAAATCGGGAGATTCTACAAAAGTATAGTGAGATTCTATTTTTCCCGATCAAAATTAAACAACCCCTTTTCCATTAGGGGAATAAACTGTTTATTTTAATATAACCTTGCTTTAGTGTGGTCCCTTATGTAACAAATTAGATGCCGCTTTTTCTTTGATGACTTTAAGAGGCCAGAAAATAGGTTATCACTGTGACGAAACATACAGCAGAGTCATTTCTTTGGTCTAAGACAACTTCATCCAGGCACAAGAATTTCCCCACAAAATTTATGTTTTTATTCAACAAGGTAATATTTCAATTTAGAATATTTCCCAGAAAACCATGTTATTGGGAGTCTTGTGGTGAGACCGTGAGAAAAGTTAAAAAATCGTGAGACTCAGAGCAGAATTGTGAGAGTTGGCAGGTCTGCCTCATATGACATTTCCTATTGAAACCTGTACGTAGTAGGAAGAAACTTTGTATTAAGTGGGCACTACAGCATTCTCTGAGATGTCCGCTTAAATTATACAAGTTTCACTGTACATGTTTGACTCCATTCGCACTAACTATTGATGTGGAACGATATGAAATTGCTTCATGCATAACAGATGTACATGTTTGGAGCTGTATGTAAATCGACAACTCGTTCCCAGACTTCCGTTCCCCGTTCCCCGCTCCCCGCTCCCCGCTCCCCGTTCCCCGTTTTAGTAACATCCATTATTCTGGCGCATCATTTCTGTTTCTACTAGTAGGTTAAAAACAAAATCAAGCGTAAGGACCCGTAAGACAACTGAAAACTAATGCCTTCGGTTCTTGTATCCTCGCCAAATTAATGCACATTGCGAACACACACTATGAATGAACCTAAGCTAACAAGGGCAAATTTTATAAAGTTCTCAAGAATAATAATTACGATAGTTTTTGAAAGATGGTGAGCTTTTTATGCCAGGCAAGGCTTTTCTCTTTAATCTGATCGCTTGATTTTTGCCCTGACCAACTGCAGGTAAGGAATGCTTGAGAACCTCTTTCCTGCTGAGCTCGCCTAATTGAATGGTTTTCAAAGTCTCGGAAATGGCTTTCAAAGCAAAATCCTCTTTACTCCGCATATCATTCATCTGAGAAGAGCTGACTTCTACGTTGTAACGAGAAGGGACACTTTTTTCAGGAATCCACTCATCTGAATACCTTAAAGAATCAATCGGTGGGAGTTGGTTTTTCTTAACACAAAAACTATTGTGAACCCAAAGGGATGCATATTTCGGATGAGATGAGCTTACCAGCGTCTTCGTTTGTGCTGAATGTATTAGCAGGTCTGTGTTTTCGTCTTTCTTTAGCGCAGAAAAATTCGTTGCACTTTCATACAGTGCAGGCTGTTTCTGTTTCTTCTCTCTCCATTTATCTTCAGTTTTGTACGGCGGGTTTGGCAGAAAAGGCCAGTAATATTTTTGCACTGATTGGACTGAAGACCGAATTTTCACGTTAGGACTCAGTTCACTTAAGGCCCGTTCTTTCAATTTCGCACCAGATTCGTCACTCAATCTAAGACGCATTTTTGACGTTTTACCCGGCTTCATATTATCACGAGGTGTATCACGCAAAAGGAAAGGACTGCGAGTAGTACACTTCAAAGACGCACTCAGTATAGTGTCGTTATTTTCCAGTTCCCTACTAGAGGATTTCAAACATCGTTTAGATTCCTGTTCTTTATTGTATTTCTTCCGTTCTTCAGTCGCCATCGTCGTGTTTATGTTTATCTTCGGCGTGTCTTCTCGACCATGGTTTTCTCCACGTTTTTGTTCCTTGTTGACAGCATTATCTTGCTTTTTTATCCGCTCTCTGGCGTTAGGTTTTTTATCACCCTTGTTCTGTTTTTCATGGCTAGATAATGGAAACATGAAGTCGCTTTCGTCGTCAACTGATACCTCATAACAAAGTCCAAAAAATCCGGGCCATCATCAGGGCGAAGCGAAGAAGTGACGCCACTTTCCATCGTCATGTACACATAAAAATACTGATATCCATCGCCCGTTTAAGAGTAGCCAGAGATCTTGAACCAATCACAATGCGAATGCCCTGTTAATATGTTTTACTGAATGTTGATTCTCTCCGTTAGTTTGAAAAGCGAAGAAAATTAGGATGTGAAGTAACAATACCGACACCTGCTTTTTATTGGTTAACAACAAGGCTTTTAATTTTATGGGTATCATCACAGCGGAAAAGATGAGTTGAAAACCAGTGCAGCCTTCAATAGTAAGCCGTGAAGACGAATATGTAACAAGTGTCATTTTTGGTTGCTTTTAGTTTAATCGATATTTTTATAGCAAATTTAATTACGAAAGAGAAAATAATCAAGATGTTTATACCACGATATAAATAAAAAACTACATATAACTACTATAATTAACTAATAGTATATAACTAAAATAAAGGAGTAGACGATATTACAAAAAATAAACAGAACGTAAACAGACTTTTCATGTTATTTGTAGGCTCTGGCTATAACCAATTACTTATGATATCCTGTTGATATTTGTTGAACTCATCATTTGAATTGATCAACAGCACTGCTGACTCAGTAATAGAGAGGAGAAGTGTGACATCACGTTACCATGGAAGCACTATTTCTGGATGACAACAGGGAGAACGGCAGAAAATAATGGCTGCGGTCACATCCAATATCTACGACGTAAATAAAGTTTAACTTAAGTTAGTGTCAAGTCACGTGATGTCATACCTAGCTGTAGTTAGTGCTTTCGGTGGACATTGCGGACACGCAGTTAACAACAGTTAGTTCTATTTAGCCTATGTAAGTGTTTTGTTTGTTGTTTTTGGTTTCCCCCTCGCTTCCCGCTTGGTTTTTATTTTGCTTATTTATATATGCTCATCTCGCACGTGCAAAAAGAAGTGTCACATTCCGATTGGTTGTTTGTTTGTAAACTTAAGACTAACCCACGAACCCTGCTTGGGTAAGCTTGGGTATAACTATAGTTAGTCTGTATTGTTTTGGATCACCAAGGCGTAAATTTTCTAACTATAGTTAGAGCGAACAGAGAAGCGGTCACTTTACCGAAATAGCTAACTATAGTTATCCCCGTCTCTTAAAATTAACTATTAGTAGCCCAGATGTGACCGCAGCCAATATGCTTATATTAACAAACAACAACTTTGCACGTGCATGACGCTATTTTGTACATTTCTTTGCCGTCGTTGCACTACTACGACATGAAACTTCCTATTTTCACGAGCCCACTTTATGGAGTAGGTGAACACAACACAAAAATTGTCCCTTTCATTTTCTAAACTTAGATACCGATAGATACGGTCCCAAAGAAAATTTCGCCAAGAGTTGCCAAATTGAATGAAATTGAATAAGATCGGTTAAGTTTGAAATAGTTCGAATAGAGTGACTTTATCGGTTTGCTGTTATCCAGAAATTTTGCGACCTTGGCAACCTGACGTAACGACTTCTCCTCTCTATTGATTTTGCAAAAAAGTACATTATTTGTTTCTGAGAAAACAAAACGAACGGAAATAATGATTCAATCGGAAAGCTACTGCGCTTACCCACAATTACTAACCTTCGGCCTGTTGGCTAAGCGTGCCTCTCGTGTGCCTAAGCAGTGACAGAATCTAATAAGCCCGGTAATACGGTAACTACAGCCGCGTGGAAAGGACTGTGAAGCATAAAAAAAAAGACAAAGTAATATAAAATACAAACAAACAAACAAGAGAGAGTGAAAAGTTTCTATAAGATATATATTTGGCATAATTAAATGACTATAACAAAACAAGACACTTCACCAACTTTCAGTTGGAACAACCCAAAGAATCAGAAGATGGATCACACCCCGGGGGGAACATTTCAGTCGATTTAGGATGAGGTCAAGTGTGCTGTGAGGGAGGGAATAACAATAAAATACCCTTTTAAAGCGAAGAAAACACAAAAAGGACACTTTCATGTGAGTGACAAACAACAAGGCAAAATGGTTTCAATACGAATTTTTTCTTTTTTTTGCATGGACATTCATAAAGCATAGAATCAGCTAAATCTAGTTGAATTGTTTTGTTAGTGCACTACACAACCACTAAAAATAGCGTAGATTCTTTGTTAATTAGGCATCCCGGCATAGTAAATCGAACGTTCCAAAATCGAACTCAATCGAACTCAATCTGTGGATTGAGTTCGATTGAGTTCGGCAATCGAACGAAATCGAACACCACACTTTCAGTGAGTTCGATTTCCGAACAAATCGAATTCAATCGAACAAATCGAACTCAATCGAACTCAATCCGTCTGATTGTGTTCGATTGAGTTCGGAAACCGAACTCAATCGAACACAATTAAATGGATTTCGTTTGAGGGATTATAGGATGACTCTCCTTTCATTGATTGTACTCAGAGTCAAAACGTAGGCCCCAGCTGCGCTCTTTTCTGTGATTATAACGTTAACATAAGCATAAGTTTGAATGTGAGCAGTCGCGACAAAGGTAGCTGTGGTTTCGTTTCCTTATGAGTAGTTTAATTTCTTATTCTAATATTACTGGCACTTTTCAAAGAGATGACTGCGTGGGGAACACCACACTTTCAGTGAAAAGAAAACTGACGAGCTGGGCCCAGCGTGATACAGCATTGCAGAAAAAAATTACACTCACGGACTAAAGAAAATCGCTTAGATCAGATCCAGAAGACACTTTGGAGAAAATTGGAACCCTTATTCAGCCGTAATAAAAAAGCTTTACTCTTCAAAAGAGGTCAAAGAAAATGCGCTTGCATCAGAGTGCAAATCCTGCCGACCAGAAAACAATAACTACAGTCAATCGATATATATGTCATGCCCTCTTAGTGGGAAACATGAGGCTAAAACCACATTTGCTCAGTAAAATGCAGAACCTTCCAGAGCATAATCTACCCAGCAGATAAAAACAACTTTATTGGAATAAGCAGCATTTTGGCATGAGGTAAAAGTCGTGTAGGTCTACCACCCCCTTTTATTGCCTTTGACTATACATTTGAAGCTTACGATCCACAACGCATCTGAAGCCATTTCTGCGGAATTTCTTCGTTTACGAAAAACACGTGCGCTACACTCAGGGCTGAAGTAACTCGAGCTTCTAAGATCTGGTAATGGATTTTCAACGCCTGTTTTACATAAATCACGAGTTCGAAAATCGAACGTTCGATTGGGTTCGATTGATTTTTTTTCTTTTCGGTGAGTTCGATTTCGTTCGATTGCCGAACTCAATCGAACTCAATCCACCGATTGAGTTCGATTGAGTTCGATTGAGTTCGATTGAAATTTAGTTCGATTGGGTTCGATTTACTCTGCCGGGAGGCATGCATATTTAAAGCTTTAAAACTATAATCACCACTGCACTGGACTCAGTGTACTCTGAAGATGACACGAAGCGTGGGGTTACCGGCGTTACCTGGGATATTTCCTACCAATCGTGTATCTGATGAACCGTGTTCAATCAGAGTGTTCAATATAATACACGGTATTGGCGTTAAACAAAAGAATCCTCGCCAAGCAGTATTACGTCTTCGGTTTCTATAGGTGCTATTAAAAAGGGTTGACGTGACGTACATATACAAGATAATTGGTTAGGGTCCCTCAGACGAACAAGATCACAAGATACATCATCCTGTAAACTCAATCATTATTTTTACGACTTCATCACAGAACAGGCCGAGAAATACGTTGAAACAAACAAATCTGCTTGATAGATCTTGGGTAACCTCTACAACACGAAAAAATAAAGATCATACGTTTTGCTTGGTGTAACAAGATCATCTCACTCTCAGCGGAAAAATTGCCAAGCAACGACTTCTAAGCATGACAGATCAAGAGTTAATTTATTACAATTTACACAATCATTTAGGAAATATTTAGGAAATCCATTAATCAGAGAAGGCTTATTCATTTATAAAATAATATTTTTCTTGGATGCCATTTGTTTCAAAATTAGTAAAATCTCGGCATTCATTCTTAACAGTGCCAATCAAAGGTATGACTTGGTAGTCTTCAGTGAAATGCAGATATTTGTATTTTTGTATTCTGCTTTATATACGTTAGTAAATTCCAAACCCATGTGACTAAATTCCAATTTTTTTCTCTTTGTCTGCGTTTACTCTCCTTTAGAAGGACTAAATGCACAATTTCTTAATTAGGACAAGACAATGTCGAGAAATAAGGCTTTTACATCCGAATCACCTTGTTTAGGGAACAATCGAGAACGGATTATAACGATTTCAATATCGTTATAATAAACCTGAGGGTCGACAACTGCGTGACGTGACACACACTCATCAAAACTGGTCCACATTTTCACTCCTAGTTGTTTTGATTGGTATTTCAACCTTTTTGAAAGAAGTGTAAAAATTAATCCATCCAAAAACTGCTGCTGAAGGTGTTAACGAATGCAAAGATAATCCGTTGCTAAGAAACAGTCAAAATACCTTTTCGTACAATCTCATGCAAATTACTAGTCGGAAAAATGGCCCGCTGTTAGAGAGGTTGTGTTGGTTACGATGGAGTTCAACTTCAACTCAGCTAAGAGCAATATCTGCTCATAACGCTCTAGATGATAAAGGAAAGAAAAATTGACGATGACAAGGGATGAGTATCATGGTTACAAGAAAATGCTACAATTCATTACAGCGGCTGCATCGGCTACTGCAGAGCTGCCCGCCCGCGAGTAGAGCTGTCTCTTGACTTGAGCTTAAGTTCTAATTTATATTTCCGCTGCCGAAATTATTTTTACAAACTAGAGATTTAGACGCTGATAAATACTAATTTTGAAGTGACGACAATCACAGTTTTAACGGAAAATTGGACCGGTATTACACTAGCTACGCTGGTAAGGTTTAACTGAATTATATCTCGGCCACGTACGATGAGTGCTGCTGATAAATGCAACACAGGAACGCTGCTGTTGCCGTTTCTGGATGAATCAGGCTGGATACATGAACTGAGAATTGTTATCTACCTGATAGCATTATTATGGTGCTTTATGGGAGTTGCAATCATCGCTGATGTTTTTATGTGTTCTATCGAAACGATTACAAGTAAAACAAAGCAGGTCAAGGTGGCTAGGCAAGACAGTGATGAAATGGACGTGGTCGAAGTTCGAGTCTGGAATGATACAGTGGCTAACTTGACGTTGATGGCTTTAGGGTCATCTGCCCCAGAGATCTTACTAGCCATCTTTGAGATCGTCTTAATCAACGGCTTTAATTCAGGAGAATTAGGCCCAAGTACGATTGTTGGTTCTGCAGCGTTTAATCTTCTTGTAATCACAGGAGTGTGTATTATGACAGTACCTATGCACGAGCAGCGAAAGATAAAAGCCATTAAAGTGTTCGCTGTAACTGCAACGTTCTCTATTTTAGCCTACGTTTGGCTTTACATCGCTTTGAGCGTGAGTTCTAAAAATGAGATCGAACTTTGGGAGGCAATTTTTACTTTTTTGTTGTTTCCTATTCTGGTTGTTATCGCTTATATTGCCGACAAAGATTACTGCTCAGGAAAAGTTTCACCGCAAGACGCAGGAGTACTTGAACTGGGTATGTGAATCTAATAATATTTCCACTTGTATCAGTATAAAGTTTCGGCACTTATGCTATATATAGGAAAACATGTTTACTAATTGAACTCACGTACATACCGTACGTGATAAGATTATAAATGGCCTTGATTTTGCTGATTGCGATTTGTATTTTCTTGGACATGAAACAATATTTTCATATAATTTGGAATCTGTTTTTTAAAATGTCTATATGAGTCGATCGCTTTGAAAGTGTATACAAAATTAAAGTTGACACGTTGCTATGCTATATTAATTATTACCAGATTGGCGTTTTGAGGTTAAACAAGTGGGAATTTTTTTAACTACATTGTACTCGTAAGTTTCACAAATGTACGTTCTTCAAAGATAGAAAGCACAATCGAACTGGTTTCCAAGATTTTGTGCTAAAAACAATAAGTGGAAAACGTTTATTCAGCTGTCATATGGTAACAAATAAACAAATCATTCCAAAAACGTCGCAGATAATTTCTAAAATGCTGTTAAAGATCCTGAGCACTGTTCCAGACTGTACGGCATTCCAAGTTTCATTTGGGCCAAATGCACCCAGGTTTTCACATATTTTCAAATGGAATGAAATTGACTGCTAGAACTTTGTATCTGTGTATCAATAATTAAAATCTTTCATCAAAGCAGGTGAAAGCTTAAATAATTATTTCTTTAGATCGACAATATTACAATACAAACAATTTTTGTTGAAAAGGCAAACCCGTAAACAAACAAGAAGGTGAAAATCTCATGTATTTCAGTAATACATGAAACCAGTTTTTATTTTTAACTCTAGTTATTAAATGAAAAAAGTTCTATAAAGATATAAAATACATGCATCAGACATAATTAGCACACTTGCATAATAATAATTTACATACCTGGCTAAAAAATCACAGTTTGTTGGCATCAAAATTTGCCCACATCCAACCAAATCTTAACTGTGGTCAGGCACGATGACCAGACCTGAAATCAAATGTACTAAAGCCTACTATCATTTTGCTCTTCGGAAAAATGCTTCCTGCCCCCCTCTCCCTCTCCTTCATATGAAGCTAAAACACTCAATAATTGCTAAGTTTTGCCATTATGGAGTTAAAAGTAAAGATCTCTGGTAGTTGCAGCTTGACTTTAGTAAGCAGGGTTGTCATTAAGAGCCGGGGGCCGGGGATTTTCCCCGGCGACTAAGAGAGTGGCCCCCAGCTACTTTTATTGGAAAATAGAAGAAAAATAGAACCAAAGGAAATCCCTAGCCGTTTGATTCCCTGCCTACTTGTTGTGTTTACCCGGCAACTTGAAATCTTAGTGACAACCCTGAGTAAGTATGCTGTTTGTATACATGTCCTTATAACAATTTACTTAACTACATTCCTTTGGTACAAAGTTTGTATCATTATGTCGGTTAATCTATTTTATGCTTTTGGATTATATGGTAAAAAAGAAATTGTTTTGAGGGGAAATTTAGTTTCACTTTGACTTTAACATTGCAATGCAAGCTCAAAAACTACATTTAATTTTTGTCAATAACTGTGCGGATTTCCTCCAAAAATGTTTACAACTGGTATAGGATTTACAGAAGCTCCAACAAATTGTGGACCAATTGTGGAATTGCACACATTTTAGGTATCCTATTGATAAACCGAATTTCTAGCAATAACGACTTGCCATCTGTCTCCTCAAACATTTGAAAGTCAATATAGATTTTGTAAGCATTGTACTAGTGTCTGCATTATCAGGCATAACCAATGAGAAAATAAGAATAAGAACCACATGTATAACAGTTTATTTAATTTTTCAAAATTAATTTAATCATCCTGCAATCAGTTAGTCACCTGCAAATTGAAATTGAAAATTTAAGGAGAAATTCGGAATTTAAATTGGTAATAAAAAGAAGACACACAAAATTAAAAAAACAAACAAACAAACAAATAAAGTATGTACTTCTGCCCATGTCAAAACACAGAAGATACTTAAAGGAATAGGTCAGCGTGTTCCTCTTTGAGGTATTGGATTGGAAAAAGACATTTTGTAAGATATCAGTATAAATTATATAGGAATTGGTACAATTACTAACCATGGCTGGATTGAACTCTTGCAAAAATAAACAATTTATAGTCTTGGTTTCAAGAGTCATAATTTGGATGTGTGGAGCCGGCAGCGATTTTCTGCACGCATGGACAGAGGACAATGAATCTGTTAAGTGTCAATGCCATTTTTGCAAGTTAATTATAGAAAAGTACATGAGTACATAAGAAAGACAGATTCCCCCTTATCCACACTGTGATAAATATTCCTTGAATGCAGTTAACTTACATAAACAATGTGACTTGAAATCTTTGATTAGCATATCACACTAAGAAATCACATTTGTATTTCTTCATAATAATAGCTGAGGGTACAAAAGCATTGAAGACACCAACAGAAGACCCAGAAGTTGAAAGTTTTATCAAGGTACAAATATATAAACATAGATCAAGATACATATAACAACAAACAATTATGTTTGAGTCCAATAAAAAAACTCTTGGTATAGTAAAAATAAACTTTGTTAGTTATGTTTAATTTACCACATTATGTACCTGGGGAACTCATATGAACTCACATTAAAATTTTGAACTCGCGTGTTAATTTTGTATGAAGCTGTTGCCACATCATTCAACTATTGTTGCAGCTCTCTAACTGTCAAACCGTTTGTCTTTGGCTAATTACTTTACGTCTAGAAATGTTTTAAAAATTAATAAATTTTAAATGCCAAATAATGGAATTGTTAGTCTCCCTCAAATAACATGAAAATCTGGTCTGAACCAGCTACCCCGCCCCCACCCCACCCCCAGGTACCAGGGGTTTTTTGCTTACCTCGGCCGAAGCCGGAACAGAAAAATTATGTATATATATATATATATATATATATATATATATATATATATATATATATATATATATATCAAACTAGGTTTAGCTAGGTTCATCTTATTGAAGGTGTTTTGAACTGATACTGATACTGTCAAACCGTTTGTCTTTGGCTAATTACTTTACGTCTAGAAATGTTTTAAAAATTAATAAATTTTAAATGCCAAATAATGGAATTGTTAGTCTCCCTCAAATAACATGAAAATCTGGTCTGAACCAGCTACCCCGCCCCCACCCCACCCCCAGGTACCAGGGGTTTTTTGCTTACCTCGGCCGAAGCCGGAACAGAAAAATTATGTATATATATATATATATCAAACTAGGTTTAGCTAGGTTCATCTTATTGAAGGTGTTTTGAACTGATACTGACCTTTGAAGCCAGGCTAGTTAAAATTTGTATGAACTCCCTTCCCATCCCTCCGGTGTACTCCCAAAACAACCCTACATCTCAATCCAGTGCCAGTTCTGTGTACTGTTCAGCGCTGTCACCTTGGCCCATTCTATATTATTCTAGACTGGGCAAGCGCTGGTCTTAAGCGTATCTAACGCAGATAAGACCGGCCAATGAATGATTCTCTACTTTATATTTGCGATATTTCTTGTTTGTAAACATTGATTTTGTCATTTAACTGTGCCAACCACTGAAATAAAGAACCTAGTATTGTTTCAATTTCCTCAACGTGATTTAGGAATAACTTCATGGCTGCCGCCATCAGATGACCCATTTTTCCTAAGGCTTCAACCGACAATTATCACCGCCGGCATACCTTGGAGTTAATCCAATAATTATGCTTTTAAATGTTACTGAATAAATGATAACGAGGAAGTCTATAGAAGAGCGAAGAATTCTTGCTTATTCAAGCTTAGCAATATAAATGAGCTTCATCTAACATACCTTACTCATCAGTCATAAGAAATAGGTTTATAAGAATTTCAATGCTGTTATACATCAAAAACTGTCTTAAGCTAACTGACGCACCTGTAACAGAGATTCGCATCAATATTTCCATGAAGTGTTTACAGAAAGGATATAGAATATCTTGCGTTTTAGCTGGAGGCTTGCGCCCAAGGAACAAAGACGATCAATGTCGGTCGGGCCTGGTGTGACGGCAAGCCCAGTTTCTAGCGGTCAGCAGACTGTCTTAGAGACCGCGAATCTTTCGAGCATCTTTCTTTTGCCGCTAAGATATGGGAAACGAAGCAAACAAAGTGAGCGTAAGGATTTTCAATATGCGAGCGTTGAGTTGTGTGGGTTTATCGTGCTAGTTTTTGTCTTTTTTTTGCTACATATTTTAGAGTAAAAGGGAGACTCTGACGGTGGTGTACCTGTCGAGGCGCGATCAACGGCGCGATTTATTAAACCAAGCACTGATGTTGGAAATGTGGGTTAAAAAGGCAAAACTGAATAGATTGGTTCCATCTTGTTGACCCAGAGCGAGAAATTCTTCCTTTTTAGAGAGGGATAGAACAACTGACAAGCCCGAAGTTCTACCTGCTCTAAAATTGAGGTGCTTGTAATGTACGTGTATGAAAAACTTGCCATATGAACTGGGATTTTTTCAAATGTGGTTTCACGCTCATAAAGCAAATTGCCCACTATTGCGACGAGCACCTTATGACAAGCAATTCGATCACAAATGTGGTTGCTAAAATAGAAGCAAGATTACAACTCACCAATGCCGATGCAAGTGAAGTCAATAGACGACGAAAAAATTGCAAAGGAAAACGAAAGGACGAAGCAAAGCAACTTTTTAAAAACGCTGTTTGACCTTGAACTCGATTTCTGAAGGAAATAGATGTTTTCACTAATTTTGATATTAATTCACAGAATCTGCTGCACAGAACCCTCTAATCGGTTATTCCTTGACTTTAAAGCGAGTTTAACCGTTTTCACTTTGAAATTGTGTGTTTCTTGTCACCAAACCTTGTGGCTGTTGTTTAACTAATGAAATGTTGTTTTTGTTTGTTTGTGTGTTTTTTACCATTTATAGGAAGTTAGCCGTAACCCGGATCTCAGTGAAGATGACGCCGCTATGCTTGTGGCAGCTCATATAAAATCAAAACAACCCAAAAATTACGGCTATTATCGCGTTGGCGCAATACGAAATATAGGAGGCAGTCATAAACTGAGACCAAAAATGGATTCCAAACTTAGAGTGGTAAGCAGATAGGGGAAATTATTTCATTTCAGTATTGACTCGGACAGCTTTATCACTAGCTTGAATTTATTTCTTCAAAGTATCTATGAATACAACACTGAGCATGCGCACCAGGCTCAAGGGTGATTAGTGGAGCACTCAATTACGGAACTTTTAACAAATATCTTTTAGTTCATAAAGATAGAATTATGAAACATATCCCGTGAAATTTTGTATACTTAGAAAAATAACATTATAGTCATTATAGATTTTCTGTTTTTTACACTGCTAATTTTCATCAAGAGCCATTGTGGCTCTTGTTTTCAGTTGATAACGGAGTGTTAAAAATTATAAAGATTGTACGGTATCTGTACTCTGAGTGCCTAGATTATTATCCTCTCCTGCTGCTGGTCTGATAACACAAAAGCAATGTTGTTCTGTAGATTTACGAGGAGTTATCTGAAGTTGGGTTTTCATCTTCTGGTGCTTCAGTCATAATGAGTCATGCCTTAGGTACGTTCACGTCTCCGGCTTACTATTACTACTGACCCTGCCATGTAATTACAGTATATGCATCTCCTATGAACAATTCCCAGCACAAAAAGTATTACCTTATTATGGGAAATTGACGATGCATTAATGCATAATTTATGTCGATGTTAATTTAAATCTCAATATATTACATCATTGTTGTTTTACAGCACCTTTATTTCAATAACAAAACCTCGTCTGCTTATAGTTCCTCTATCAACACCTCGGAGTCACTATCTGACAGTTCTTAGTCCTTAGGAATTGAGTTCAAAATGTCTTTCGACTGTCTTCGTATCGACCCGTTTCCCCGAGGGGTTAGCTAACTTCTTCGGTCTTCCTTCTTCATGGCAATGCTGCTTTTTTTTCTTTTAGATATGTATGTTGAGAAGCTTGTATTTCAGCAAATTCGCGTAAAATAAAAGTCAGGCGCTCGAAACTTTCTCGTAATTTGATGTATGTAAACCAAACTTTTGGAAAATTCGCGTTAATTTTTGGTAACGTAAATTTTCTTCGCGTTGTCAATGTGCATCGTTAATTTCAAATAATAGAGAGTGTTAGATCCGAGATTACCGCGAACCTCTAACCGCGGTTTGCGGTTACCCGTTTGCGGTTCGACGTTCAAACATAATTCGATTTAGATTGGCGGTGGATTAAAGAAGTGGATTCTGAATTTATTTTTCCATTTAGAAATGGAAGAAATATCAATCAGTGAAAATAAAAGAAATTTACCGTAACACTGGGTTATCTAGCAGTAAAGAGCTGTAAATTCTTACATTAGTTCTTCTTATAAATTTTCGGCCGCCATTTTGAATCAGCAGCCATGAATGGCACTTGTTTTCAAGATCCAATAGGATTTATCAAATTTAGCATTTCGCCCGAATTTGTGCCTCTGTTAATGGATAAAGACTTGCTGCACAAGATTTTTGTATCATTACGTGGGATAAAACAAGAATTATACGCTAAAAGCTTTCAGGTAAATGGCATACGTGAAACTGACCTACCTCCCCACGTTGAAAACGCACGTCGTAAACCTCAAACGTGACGCGAAAGACTTGTCACGTGACTCCCAGCGGTTAGAGGTTCGTGGTAAACTCGGATCTAAAACTCTCTAATGAAGCAACACGCTGCTTATATTTTTAGCACGTTGCCTGCATGAAACAAAAACAACGCTTCAATGAAATTACCCACCAGTGGTCGCTTGATCCTCTGTGATCAATAAACATACACATTATACACAATTTCACAGAAATGCCGCTCCAGTTTTAATAACCAGTCAGGTAAGTAGAGTTTAGTAAGAATAATATCTCTGTCAGTCTCAAAATTTCTGCTTTCAGTTCTAAAATTTCTTGTGTTTTTTGTTGCTTCAGCGGGAAGAATACAGCCGGCTCGAGTTGAGTTTGCTGCTCCTAAATGTGCCGTTCTTGAAAGTGATAAAATTGTCAGGATTGGAGTGAAAAGAACTGGCAACACTAAACTAGCCACAAGTGTAAAGTAAGTGTGTTAATGCCGAGCAGTAAACATTGATCCAGTTTTCAGTCCCTCGATCCCAAACCAAAGTTCAAGAATACATGAAATTTATCGTTGTAAATGGGTTGGCTTGACTTAACCCTAAACCTAATTCATTCCCAACGATCTCCATACAGCAAATAAATTAAAGCTTTTTACAGTTTCCAACCCATTGTAACGATATGGTGATGGCATGGGAGGCTGGTCGCGTACATTGCGTCAGAATTCGCAATATTAAGATTCATAAGTAGGTTGACTTTGATCGTCAGGGTGATCGTAGTCCTGAATAGGACTGTTGTTGTCGACAGTGAGTGACGTTTCAACAACCTGTGTGGTAGTCATCTTCAGAGTCAAAGTGAGTTGTATCACGTCAGTTGATGGTATTATACTCTGGTTATTGATCTGATTGGTCAATTACGTCGCGATGTTATTGGTCGTCTGTCTGTTAAGCAGTGATGTTATTGGTTATATAGACTCGTAATCAGTAATTGGTACGTTTCGGTCCGTCTATTGTCACACTTAAACAGTCGTCTGTTGTTAGTCTAATTGTCATTCTCTCGTAGTTAGCTAGTTTTGCTTGATCTCGTCAATAAGTCGTTTGTACGGCGCTGGTAACTGTTGGCTACGATTCAGTGGCGTTTGTTCTAAGTTAGTAAACCAGCTTTCTAAAGTAAGACGTTGATAGTAGTCTGTAGAATACGTTATACATGTCACAGAGTCCCAGTCAATTTGATGTTTCGTCTTTAAATGGTGCTCAGCAATGTGATTGTTGACGTCACCATTCTTCGTCGCTCGTTTGTGTTCGGTCAGTCGCGTGCTTAGGTTTCTGCCGGTTTCCCCAATGTAAGAAGCCTGGCAGTCGCAGCATTTTATCAGCTGGCGTGATGCCATCAACATACCATCAACTGACGTGATACAACTCACTTTGACTCTGAAGATGACTACCACACAGGTTGTCGAAACGTCAGTCACTGTCAACAACAACAGTCCTACTCAGGACTACGTTCACCCGGACGATCAAACTCAACCTACTTTTAAAGGACTCCTGGGTTCAAACCTTTCATAGTTTCACATTAAGTTTCATTTTGACTAAAATTCCATTTTAGTTATGAAACTATTAATGGCACAGCTCTGGCTGGATCAGATTACGAGGCAAAGAAAGATGTGCTTGTCTTCAAACCTGGAGAAACGTTAAAACATGTGGACATCACAATTATTGATGACGACGAATGGGAAGAGAACGAGGTGTTCTTTGTGAAAGTATCAAGGTTTGATTACAAAGACGACACAGTGGAAATCGGAGAACAAAGTATTACCGAAGTCACTATTATAAATGACGATGGTAAGAAAACAGAGAATTAGTCAGGTCTGTAGGTGCGGGTACTGGGGAGAGGAAGTAATCTGGCCGGTGCGCAATCACATGGTCATGGCGACTTTAAAGTCGCAATAAAACGTGATCTGGTCATGGCAAATTGTATTTGGCACTGGTAAGACTAGAGTGGCAATAAGCAAGATCTGCTAATCTGCATAACACCCGCCAAAATATACTTGGGGTTGATACCAGAGGGTTTGTTCTGCAGCGCAAGATGACAGACACCAAAGAGTTTTTTCAGTAATTCCTGCACCTAAAGGAAGAGTCACTAACAGTCATCTTAATAAGAGTGCGCCCAGGTCAATCAAAATTAGGGCGGATAATCCTTCCTTTCCGTTTGTTCATCACTTAATTAACGTCAATGGATGCTCATTCTGGATATTTGCTCATTTCAAATTATCATCATTATCATCATCATCATCATCATCACTATATTATTATTACATACCTTTATTATCGTCATCATCACGGCGATCAAACGAGGATTTGTCATTGCACGACATTTTAGCAATATCCCAACATAGGATAAAAACAATATTTGCTCCCTCCATGTTATTGTCCCTAGTTTGAACCAGGGTTTTCGATGATGTCTTCTTCAGATCTAACAGAACACAGTGTAATTGAGTCGCTAACAAGCTTGTGAACCAGAATTTGTAGGCTAATAGTCAGTTCTTAGACCAACAGTTTTGAATTGTTTTGTAACAGTGAAAATTAGTTCGAATCCTGGGTAAACACTCTCTCTTGTGGGAAATGAATAACCTGCCTTCTGCTTTCTGGTTGGTGGCTGCTATGTCCAAGCTGTATTTTCTGCTACTAGGGCTTGATAAATGCTATTAGTCTTTTTCTATTTAATAAAGCACTTCTTGTGTGATTAAATCACTAGAACCTGGAACCTTTTCGCTGGAGAATCCAAGCTACGTTATAAAAGAAAGTATTGGCAAAGCCTTTATCAAAGTTGAACGGACTAATGGAACAGATGGGAAGGTAGAGGTTACATGGAAAACTACAGATAAAACAGCAGTGAACGGCAAGGATTACCATGGAGGGACTGGCGCCCTAATTTTTGAGCATGGCGAGCAAGTTAAGCACATTGTTATAGACATTATTGACGACAAAGACTTTGAAAAGGACGAGACGTTTACAGTAGAGCTCACGGGCACCTCGGATGGAGCCAGTCTTGGACACATTAAGAGTGCAGCAGTCACTATCGTCAATGATGACGGTATGGTTATATTGTAACAACTCTATCTGTTTCTCTTTAGCCAACCTCGTTCCCAGGGTTCTCTCCTACCCGCCCTACGGAGCGAGAGAGAGAGAGAGACCCTGGCAAACGCTGGTCACGTGTCTCCCAGAACCCTGGGAACGAGGTTGCTCTTTAGCAAGGCGCGTCACTGATCCTATATTTTGCACTATTCAATGGTTGAAAGAGACTCTGCTTGAGGGGTCAACTACGTTATTTATTACTACTGCCTTTCTTGCGATGGGTTTTCATGGAATTCTGGAGCTAGCAGATAAAATGTTTTTCCGCGGATTAGAATACAAAGACATTGTCGCCATTATTAATCCAGCAAATCCGTTCTCGTTCGGACTGTTTCAGTGAATAAATGTTTTAACAAAAAGAAGGTGTTTACAAGTACCCAAGGTTTTCAGGCAGTTTACAAAAGTGACGGCTGTATTTTTCTTAATTATTATTGTTTCTCAATACAGAAAATGAGGCAAACCAGGCCTTTATGTTGTGTTCATGATAACCTACTAGATATTTTTTTTCTGTTCAGAGTATCGCCGCTTGTTTGACCGTGTGGTAGCATTGACGCATTTAAATCTTCGCCGTTTGGATCTTGGATCCGAAACATGGGGCGCTCAGTTTAGAGAAGCCATGTCAGTAAATGGGGGAGATATAGAAAACGCCACTACACTTGATTACGTCATGCACTTTCTCACCTTTGCTTGGAAGGTATGTTCAACACTTTTCCTTTGCTTTACATGATTCTAAAGAAATAGACAATAGCATCGGCCCACCCTTTTAACTTTATGTAAAACAATGATAGCTTTCCAGGGAGGATAAAAAAATGCTCAAATAGGATATCTAAGGGCCTGTTTACATGAAGGTGGGGGACCCCAGGTAGGTGGGGTAACCCGCCTGTCTATATAATCTCTCATTTTAATTTTATCACGTTTACATGATAGGTGGGGTGACCCGCCACATGTTACCTCACCTATCTGGGGTCCCCCACCTCCATTTAAACAGGCACTAAATGTACCCTGTGTAAATCATATATTTTGAGGGGTTTATTAGTTTACTAGTTAATTGTCTTATGTCATCTCATCGTTATCAGGTAATCTTTGCAATATGTCCTCCTTGCACTTGGCTGGGTGGCTGGCTTTCCTTCGGTGTCGCTTTAGGCATGATCGGACTTATCACAGTCATTGTTGGTGATCTTGCTACAATATTTGGCTGCCTTGTTGGACTAAAGAACGAAGTGACAGCCGTTACGTTTGTAGCACTTGGTACCAGTCTGCCAGATTTATTTGCGAGTAAGAATGCGGCTGTCAATGAAAAGTACGCTGATGCTGCTGTCGGAAACGTGACTGGAAGCAACTCTGTGAATGTCTTCCTCGGACTGGGGACGCCTTGGGTCATAGCTTGTATTTATCATACTGTCAAGGTAACGTTTTCGGGAAACTTAGCTAGCGTTTTGTTCATCTAAGTTTTTTTGCCCCTACTATCTGTTTGAAAATGACTAAGGCCTTTGCAAAAGTTCACATCTTTCCCCAAAGTACAACTGAAACCAGATGTGAACGTTCACAAGTATTCGGCTTTTCAATTCCTCTCGTGCGCTACTCTTAGGTTCGTTGTCAGCCCTTTGTGACAAAAGCCATTGGAATATAAACTGGTCGCACGCGAGGACGCTCCCCAGTTTTCCACCTAGCTCCAGACTTCCCCTGGTACAATGCGTTTTCCAGTTAAAATTTGTCCAAGGAAATACAGAGTGCGTGGGGTACGTTTATCACGCCAAGACAGGGTGCAAGGAGGAGGCAACAGTCAGCTTTGAAAAGGCATGAATGATATGCGTCGACTGCTCTATTAATGATCTAAATCTTTATTTTCAGGGCACAAAGTTCATAGTGGACGCAGGATCATTATCCATAAGTGTTGTGACGTACAGCATATGCGCGGTCCTTTGCGTCAGCCTCCTAATGGTGCGCCGGTACACCAAGGCTATGGGCCGCGCAGAACTCGGCGGGCCAAGTACAACGAAGTACGCGTCAGGTTTCTTTCTGGTAGTCCTGTGGCTTGTATATGTTCTTATATCATCCTTAGTTGCCTATGAAAAAGTTACATTTTAAACGAATTCAAAAAGCAATATCATGTCCACAAAACCTTCACTGCGTTTAATTAGAGAAACTGCGGAGCAGCCATTCTGAAGGCGTTGGAGGTACATACAAAGAAAATACCACTGAATATAGTCGAAGATTTCACCTTGTCAACTGTAAATATGAATCCCATCGCACCTTGTCGATATTTATTTCCAAAACAATCATGCCTCTTGATAGTTCCGAGATTCTAGCAAAAAATCGTTTAATTTTCCGTACTCCCTAATGCCACAGTATTTTGACAAGCAAAGAGTGTTTTCCAACAGCGAGGTCAATATCTAAGTTAAATAAATCAAATTATAAGATTATTATGAGCATGTTGGCTTAGACCCTGGTATTCACTCGAAAGCCGGCAGAGTGCATGGTCAATCGACTGGAATTTTGTTCCTCAATAGTGCCCACTTTCATTGGCTAGTTTAGGGAGACTTGACGTAATCCTGAAATTATATTTTACGTGTTCATCCACGCTGCTTGTTCTTGTTCACTTACGTTCCGGGGGGGACTGCAATCTGCAATCTTTAATTTACATTTTATAACTTTTTTTTTCTTGATCATTCTAAAGTAATTCAGTTGATGTAGAAAATAATGCGCATAGTAATATAATGGCAAACATTTAAAGCTTCCCCGTCTTTCTCGGCATATGGAAGCCGGTCCCAGTACCCCGTCCCCGTGGACATCCATGGTGTAAAAGTGTTGGTACTTTTCGAGCCCGGAAACTGCTGCTGAGACTGCTCTAATTTTCGGTTCTTGACCACTTTTTTACAACAACCATTTGAGCCTGAAATCTAAGTAGGTCCTAATTTGGAACAACAACAAAAACAACAATTGAGAGTGACACTTGGAGACCCTCAAACTGCGCCTTGCTGTTAAATTTTGTACTAATAATACTCTAAAAACTGCTCAGATCAGAGGACTTGGAGAAGGGTTTATATTTTGCTCACAATTTTGTTTAATTTACTATAAATAAAACTGGAAGGGACCAGACTTGCATTTTTTTAGATGAGGGGCTTTTTCTCTTCTTAAAGTAAGAACATGTTTAGGTTTAGTTGGCAAAATGTTAGTTCTTATCACCTAGCGTGCGACTTCAGTAGCCTCTCATCCACCCTGTCGCTGGCGATTAGGATAGGCGTCTGTGTTCGCAGGCTATAATATAAGCAGGTCAGTTTTGACTGGATATTAATAAAACGTGGAGCGGAGAAAGAGTACAAAAGAATGGGAAAATGAAAAATGGGAAGTAACTTCATTTCCAGTTCCCATATTTTACCTTTTCCCGTTCCCCCGTTGCCCGTTTTGTCCATTGTACCTCTAGTTCGTCCGTTGTACCTCTCGTATGAGAGAACTTAATACTAATTTGCATAAATTTGTTGTCTATTTTTGGTAACGAATCATTGGCGGCGGCTCTTTGAAAAGTCTACTGAGCTTAAAAGAAGCGGATCAGGGAAACTATTTCTTTCATCATTTGACGATGTGGTATTAGAAATTAACTGTTTTTCAACCAGATCGTTGAAACATCTTTAAAATACTCTAGAGGTGTAAAACTGTCACGAAGACGCAATCGTTATATAAATCGTGAAAATTGATTTAAGGGCCTGTTTACATGGAGGTGGGGGACCCCAGGTAGGTGAGGTAACTCGTTTGTCCATATAATCTCTCATTTTAATTTGATCACGTTTACATGATAGGTGGGGTGACTCGCCATACTTTACCTCACCTACCTGGGGTCCCCCACCTCCATGTAAACAGTTCCTGTGGTTAAAAAAATGTTGTAAAGGTTGGTTTTAGTGTTTGCAATCATCGCCCACTACATCAACACTCATACATGTGCGCCTACATGTGCGTTCTACGTGTAAAAAAAATTATAAATACGTTACTTGCTGCTCCGGGAGGATTCAGATGAAGGAATATCCTCAGTCCGGAATATCCCTAAATTTAAGGACAGGGCTAACTGGCGCGCTTGTGTTTATCAACAAACAAATCAAAACATCGCCCCAACGATAAAAAATTTTCAAAACAACGGACGGAGTCGGACAGAATTAAAGATGAGCTTACAGTACTCGTCTAGGTTTCACATTTAATACTTCAAAGAAAACATGTCATGTAAGAAAATATAGAGCATTAATCATTGCAAGGAATCCTTGGGGTGTTCGAACTGATTCCGGACCGATCGCAAAGGTCGTGGCTTCACTGGCATGGCTTGCAAGATTTTTGATAGAAGCAAACTCGTCCCGTGTAAAAATAGCCTTAGAGAGAGTGTGAAAATTTGTTGAGATCGTACAAAACAGCATTGGTACAACCTATTAACTTCTACAGGACAAGAATCAAAGAACCAGTCATCATAACCAGAATAGAAAGTAGTTGAAATTTATTAATTTTTCTTGTTTGTTTTTTTGTGTTGTTTCGTGTTGACTTCACGCATCTGGTGCTTTCTTTGCTTGCTGTAGTACCTGCAACGTTTTAATTTTATCCCAGGTAATCAGTGCATGTTCAATGAGAAGCGAAATACAGCATTTACAATTGAGATTTGCTTTGTTTCTTTGATTGCTTTTTAACGGCGGATGAACATTTGGAGAATCCAACAACATTAAATCTTTCCAGATTAGTGAATTTCAGAAACAAAGCGGTTAGTATCTACCTTGCGCTTGTGATCTTCAATTTCATCCCCGCAAATTCGGCAAAAGGAGGCGAGATGTTGGACGTGAATATCCATAAGACTAATAAAGTTGTTTTGGCCTTGAAAAGAAAAAAGGCAAAGGCTCGTACTTATATGCGAAAAAAAGTAATAACACGGCTTTTGTGAGAAACCTGGGAGTGGAAAACCTACGTGTTTTGGACCGCGGAATTCAAAAATTGTCTACCAAAATTCTAGGTTGTCTGCCACCCCCACATTCAACATGATAAAAGTTAATCGATATGACAATCGTGGAAAAATATCTAGAACTTCGTAAAAAGTCTGTGAATCGAAAAAATAATAGATACAAGTTGTTCACCTACCTTGAAAGCCGACGAAAATCTCTCCTATACATCGCGTTGTTTAAAAGATAAAAGAAGAATAAGCCACAAAATGTGCTGAATATTTCACGAGACACTTCCAATATGGCTTCCGATACGCTGTCCACTTAAAATTCATTTCCAGTTTCCATATTTTGGGCGCTTTCCATTCGACCAAAAATTCCGGAAATTCCGGGTTTGGGAGCGAATGGAACAGACATTTTCCGGAATTTCATTCCGAAATTTTGGTATACCTCGCGAGGTTGGCTTAAAATTCCGGAAAATCGGAATAACCGGAAAATTCCGTTCCATTCCTCCATTCCTGCTCGCGCCCAGTTTCTCAGAGCCCGGAAATCGAACTCAACATGGCTTCCAATTCTTCTGCTCAATATCAGTGTTCCGCTTGTTAATATGCGACAGATGACTTGAATGTTCTTTTGCACCGGAGCCACGGCAAACTTTCGTAAGTAGTGCGAAAATGTATATAAGCTTCGCGCAATGTCTTAAATTAATGTGATAAGTCACGAGCACACTTTCTATTGCAAGGCAAATATTCCCGCCATTACTGGGTTGGGAGTGAATGCATGTATTTTGTAGCGTCAACGTTTTCTTTTCGCATTCTTTATGCCTATAATTATAACAGTGCATCTACTGTTTCCGAGCTAAGTGAAACGGATAATATTACTGAACAGCGTTATGTCGTCGTCCTCGTCCAATACTTCGCTTAATATTTCAACTTCATAGTCGTCGAGCAACTCTAAAGCAAGTAAAATAGACGAAGAGTCCGCCATTTTTTGATTCCCCTGTTTATTTCGTATTTTCGCGCGAAAATTGGTACGTGATGGACTGGGACGGCTTGGTTCAAACCAACTAGAAAATACTGTTCCATTCGTCACATGGAATACTCGAAATTTCATTCCGGACCTTTTCCCGTTCCCCAGTTGCCCGTTTTGTCCATTGTACCTCTAAGACGTCCGTTGTACCTCTCGTATGAGAGAACTGCATAAATTTGTTGTCTATTTTTGGTAACGAATCATTGGCGGCGGCTCTCTGAAAAGTCTACTGAGCTTAAAAGAAGCGGATCAGGGAAACTATTTCTTTCATCATTTGACGATGTGGTATTAAAAATTAACTGTTTTTCAACCAGATCGTTGAAACATCTTTAAAATACTCTAGAGGTGTAAAACTGTCACGAAGACACAATCGTTATATAAATCGTGAAAATTGATTTAAGGGCCTGTTTACATGGAGGTGGGGGACCCCAGGTAGGTGAGGTAACTCGTTTGTCCATATAATCTCTCATTTTAATTTGGTCACGTTTACATGATAGGTGGGGTGACTCGCCATACTTTACCTCACCTACCTGGGGTCCCCCACCTCCATGTAAACAGTTCCTGTGGTTAAAAAATGTTGTAAAGGTTGGTTTTAGTGTTTGCAATCATCGCCCACTACATCAACACTCATACATGTGCGCCTACATGTGCGTTCTACGTGTAAAAAAAATTATAAATACGTTACTTGCTGCTCCGGGAGGATTCAGATGAAGGAATATCCTCACCTGATCCTGGAAAAGTTATTTCAACGCCATTTTCTTTTCGACAACCTGACAAACTACTTCCCGGTAAACGGCTTTTGTCTCTCAAAATTCCCCCACTATCCTGTGCACAAATCAGATTTGTATGCGCGATCCAACATGCGCAGAAAGCGCAGAAGGTCATCGTCGTTCTCTCCCCAATCTCCCACTCGTTCTCTAAAAAAGGACGGTGAGCAAAGTTCGGAGAGGGATGCGGTCTTAACTAATTCTTTTAGAAAATTTCACAGTGTCTTCAAAATGGCAACAACATTTCACGAAACGGAAATTTCTGGCGGAGAATTTTTTTTAGATAAGACTGGTTGTTTTTATTCAAAGCAATTCTAATGCAGACTTCGTTTTAACCTGCGATGAGGCGGTCAGACACGAAATACAAAAGACTTCAGGTTTGATTCGGTCTTTGTTTTGTTTCACTCTGTACAATGTTCAGTCTAGTTTAAATGTAGATAATTTAACTGTTTCCGTTATGCTTAAGTAGTTATTTACAAGTGTTTTCTAGTGTAAATAGGAGGTTCTCACTAAGGGTTAACTCGAATCATTCCTGCAGACTAAGAATTAACTAAGGTCATGCATTTGTTTGAGTTCGATATGAGACTGCTCTTAGTTTAAGCGTAGCTTTTGTCTTCAACACCCATTTCCTTGACCATCCGCTAAATGAAAATTAGTCTTCAGAAAGGCTGAAGCCCATTTTCAATCCTCGCCTACCTATGCTTAAAAAAGTGCGGTAACATATATTTTCAATGAGTGGTTTTCCTTAAGCGCTTTTTTTCCCACGTCAACTTTGTAAACCCATGACACGACAGAACGGTGCGTCTCGTCATTATTCTGTTTTGATTCACTTAAAACCACCAAAAACAGCCTGAATTTAACCATTAATGACTTTAGTACATGTACTACCAGCTTAATGAAAGACACGCCAAAATACAAATGAAAAACACTTGGACTTAAATAAGCAAATACTATTTGTAACAAATTCTATGCTTGTAGAAAACGATACTATGTGTGATGTTCCTGCCACCAACACTAATTCTAGTTTTTATAACATTTAAATGAAAAATAAGAATTTAATTAAGAATTTTACTTTACCAAAACACAATACAAATAATTGCCGTTCAACAAAAAAATTGTTCACAAAGCTTGAATTTAGACATCCACGGGATAACACTAATGGAGAGACAAACGCTGTAAACAACAGGAAAACTAACAAAAAAAGCTCGAGCTTTTGGCGACCACAGTCATGCTGAATAAGATAGAAATTCACATGCACTTTGCCGATTATTTTTGAGCACGTGATAAATGTTTGGAAGAATGACGAACAGCGCTGAGTTCCATCATTCCAGCATCTCGCTCCTGTCTTGTTCCACTGGCTCTTCTTAGTCCTGTTCCTGAAGATGTTGGTGTCATTACAGGTGTTGAGCGGACATGGGCCCCAGACATCCGGGATATGTCACCACGTGGGAGATCACCACTTGTGACGTCAGCTGGCGCTCCACGATGAAGACGTGTAATGCGCCGTTCTCTCTCAGCGCGCGAGATTGGTCTTTGTGCACCTGGTTAATTTAAAAGCGTAAACTGAGAGATTAGAAATCTGCTATCAAATTAAAGAAGGGCGATATTTCTCGAAAGTTCTGAGTTTCGTGGTTTAACCTTTAAGAAAAGGAAAGTGTGGGCCAGACGACCATGCTTACCAACTGGTGAAGGGGTAGCAGCAGTCATGGGTTCTCTTAGTCGGCCAGATGCCCCACCAGCCAAGGCTCGAGTTGTAGAGCTTCGATGATTCCTTTCTGGTTCTCTTGGTTCACGCTCTCTCTCCAAAACTTTTTCTACTCCCTTCATTCCACATCTTTCAGCGCCCGGATCCGGTTCTCTTCCCTGAGTTGGAATAAAGGACCACAGTGGGATGTCACAAATAGTCGAATTTTTGGAATTATAAGATTTTATTTTTGATTACAAGATTTTTTGTTTTTGAGATCTTTAGAATGAGCAAGACCAAAAATACTTCTTAGCTCTGTTACGCCTTCAAGACTCAACATAATCATTCTAAACTAAACTTAGGTCAAAACTTTATAGGATCTTTATGGAGTCAAAACAGCCTAACAGAGCTAATACCTCGCTATCAAACTGCATGAAAATAATAAGCGTTTTCTCTTTCAAAATATCCTGACAAATCCCTCAATTTCACATTTAAATATATTTAATATACTTAGTTTTTCTGACATCTCCACTTTAAAACACCATACCCACCACATTATCAAATACGCTTAATGTTTTAGGTTTAATTAATGAATTAAAAAAACACACACTCATGTACAACAGCAGGAGGGACAATGTACGAGTTCTACAAGACATTGAACAATGCTACTGCCAAACTAAAAGCATAGGACTATGTAGTAAGTTGTTGTCTCCAGCTGAGGACGGGACTGCCATTTCTATGTGATCAGCATAGCCAAGCAAAGGTCTGGCAGTGTACAGTTCGAAGTATTGATCAGGCCCAAGGAACCAAACTTGTGACTACTAACTCTGCCACAGGTGGATGTGGTCTGTCACAAGCAAAATAAGTGGTACCCAGGTCAACATGTCTAGAGGCCAGTACCCTGGTTATTAGATCACTGTGCCTCACTAGGGTTAGTAAAGAAGGCCTAGCTTACATGTACATGCAAAATAACGATTTCAACCCTGGGATTAAAAAAAAGAATATTGTACAGAGCACTGTGTCATTGAAATTTCATAGTATTTTATCAGAAAATTATAATAAAATGGTGCATGAAAACTTACAAATTTGAGAAGATTCCAGTCGAAGATATAATCATACACATATCCTTGACAATGAAACAGGTTGCGAAAAAGTTGTCGCAAGTAAGAGTAGTCAGGCTTATCATCAAACCGTAGTGACCTGCAGTTGTTTAAGTACGTGGAAAACTCAGCTGCAGAAAAGGAAGAGAAACAACACTCAGTAGAGTATAATACAAATACTGTGAATGGCATAACTGTGGTTCTAAGGTTTACAATAATTTATAGTCTGTGCCTTCTTTCTGCATATAAATTTCATTACCCAATAAAAACAGAATTGAACTTCAGCAATAAACAGCTGTTTAGCTACATGCCCAAGTAGAGGTCCAAAGCCAGGAGTATGCAGTCATAAAATGGTCACCATAACATCATACATGTACATACAAACTTGTTTCAAGATACATGTACAATAATTTGTCATTTCAAGAGATTACAAAGTAAATGTTGATATATGAGAAAAAGAAAACAAAATCTCAAATTCATGTTGGTAAGCCCAAGGACTGGAATAATTAAATTTGCATAAGTATTTTGTATAGAGTGATACCAGGTTCATATCCAAATGGAAGAAGTAAAATAACAATATTAACAGCTTAAATGTTCACTTTTGAACAATAAGATTCCTTATAAAGTTGTACAGATGAAGAACAAAAATCCACTGCACAGGGAATTCAAAAGCATACATTCTACAGGTACCATTCATCATCACATACATGGAAAACCCTTGCAGAGGACCTCAATAGGTGTTGACATCTTTTTTTCACTGATCCTTTCATATTTCTGTTTCTTTGTAGCTGCCTTAAGTCCTTGCCACGGCAAACTTCCCAGGTTAAAATACATAAGAACATACCCAAGTGATTCTAAATCATCTCTTCTGCTTTGCTCTAAAGACACAACAAGGCAGGATTAAACTATGTTATTGATTTGTACTTACTTACTACAATAATATAGACAAAACAGGAAAATTATTGTGAACACTTCACTCACGGATGTTTATTGTGTCAAGCCCTAGGATTTCGCGGCAATGATCTTTTCTGGTACACTGTCATCACCGTGATCTTAAAATAGTAGAACCGAAAAATAGTTTCCCGTGACATATCCTGAAACATATGTATGTTCAGACTGAGGGATCAAAATACACAAACGTAGTATTTTTCCACACGGCTTCTTAACTAGTAGAGCAATTCTTTATGACTCTGCTTGTGTACATACTGGTATACGAAATTTTAAAAAACGTTACCGTTTTTCTATAGTCCACTATCTTGAATCATTCCCAAAGTGCATTGCATGTTACTGATGACTCGTGCATGAAAGATGCTTAGCAGTTAACAACATTTAAAAAAGACTCCAAAAGATTAAAAACATTTAGAAGGTGATCTTTTAGTGACAATTTCACTGTTGAAACTGATGATGAGGCCCAAATCTCTTTATGAAAAGATGATCTGTAGCAAACATTTCAACCGAGTCCACTTCTTTAGTTGGATTGAAGAGGAGTCTGGGGTTTTTGACACTTTAGTGCACACAAATTTAACATTTAAAACACCTTCTTCTGACACGTTAATAGACATTGCAGTTTTTTTGTAACTAATAGTACACACTGATGTTCTTTAATTTTAAAGTATGTTTAAAAACATGTTTCTGTTCATTAAAAGAAATAAAAGTGGGTTCCCATGGAACCAAAAAGACTGTTACAGATAGTTTCCCATGATCTGTGGGCATGGAAATGAAAAATGCTATCCATGCCATTTGCAATCCTAGGGCTTGTTGTGTTACAACCAATCACAGCAAAGATCAGGACACACAAACTAGCCAAAAAAAAAAAAATTTAATTAACCTCCTTGCTTAGAGTTTGGTTTCTCATGTGCGATTGGCTTTTTTCTTGCATAACATTCAAGAAATATTTCTGGTGTTCATGGTTTTCCTCGTTTGACTGTAATTTAACCTCAATACACATAATTTATAATTGGTGCAAGTTTATTCTCCCCCTCCCCTCCCCCTTACCCTTTTTGCACCTATCACACATGATAATGTGTGGATGTTTCTTGGTGTTGCAGAACCCAATGTTTGTTCACTTTTGTGCTGTGGTGTGGATATTGTTCAGTTTTCTTTCAGTCTGGTGACTGCACCTGTCCCCAATGCCAAGAAACTACCCTAATCAGGGGTGTATCTAGCCTTAGACTGGTAGGCCTGCAGGGCCTACAGTGTTTTGGTTTTTATCACTCTACCACCTGGGTCCACTTGTAATAAATCATGTATTGTTGGGGCAAGCTCAAGAGCTTAAGAGCTCAAAGTTTAGAAGAGGTCAGTGCTTACTAGTCACGTGTGCAATCAACAAACAACAAACAACAACAAACAACAAACATTGCGGAGGACATGTTGAAATAAATTTCCGACCCTTGGCCAGCCAGGCTACAACAAGTCGAGAAGCTGGCTATGCTACTGACAGTACTAATAATTGGAGGCTCTGTAGCAATCATGTATCCTCCAGCTCTAAATGGCAATTGCTTAAATGCAGCGCATTTCAAATTAAAAAAATGTAGACATGCTTACATGTACACCAGCAAACATACATGTAAAAATCATCTGATGTACATGTAGAAAATGCAGTCACAACATACCAATTCCTAAGTGAGTGTTAATACTGGCATATCTTGCTGTCCCTGTCAGGTTCTTGTTTTCTCTGTATGGTATATGCTGGTGTGTCCGTGGGTCTCTGTATTTCTTTGCCAATCCAAAATCAATAATGTACACTAAACTGCCCTTTTTCCCAAGTCCCATTAGAAAGTTGTCTGGTTTGATATCACGATGGATGAAATTCTTAGAGTGAACATACTCTATTCTGCTGATCTAAGAAAAGATAAAAAACACTGCAACAATCGACACTATTTCAAAGTACTGGTACTGAGATTGGTGAACATACTATGTACAGTGGAACGCCGCTCTACAGACACCCATATTGTAATACTGACGCAGTTTTGTTTGTCCCAACCAAAAGCTTAATGAGTACAAAATGTACAACAAAACAAGAAAATATAAATATATAAAAGTACAAAAATATACATGTACATTGTACACCCGCTTAATAAGTACAACAGCCCTCTCCCGATAGCAAAATGATAAAACTTCTGACATTTCATAACTTGTTCCCGCCACTAAGATATTCTCCCTAAAACTTGTAGTAGAATGACAATGGCTATCACATTTTCCTGCCAAAATGACGCTGGCTCATGTGCAAGCACTACTTCCAATGTAGTGTTGAGAAAATCTCATACTTGTTGCCATGCTCGTCTTAAAATCTAAAGCTCTCTAATAAGAGCCAGGAGCCAGCGATTTCCTCCGCTACTATGAAAGTGGCCCCTGGCTACCTTCATAGCAAAATAGAAGAAACATGGAACCAAAAGAAATTCCTACCTGTTTGATTACCCACCAACTTGTTGTATTTACCCGTCAACTTGAAATCTTAGTGAATTCCCTGCTATGACTAAAGATCTTACACATGAAAGCTTTACAGGAACGGCAAAGAATCTTTCAAAGGTTTTAGGTTATATTTAGTCCACCAAGCTGATTTGCTAAAAAAAATGGTAAAGGTGCACATGACCCCAAGGCCCAAACGGCCAGAGCTTATACCAGTTTCCATAGCATGAAGCATGCCTAGGAGTTCCTCCCCCTTGGACGGGATGCTAGTCCATCACAGGGTTATGCCCCAGCAGTATATCGCCGGTACCCATTTATACACCTGGGTGAAGGAAGACATATTGGAGTAAAGTTCCTTGTTTAAGGAAACAATGCAATGGGCAAGGCTTGAACCCCAGACCTCCAGATCCAGAGTTCCAGGTGTTAACTGCTCGGCGACACACTCCTCCACACTCCGCCGATTTGCAATCTCAGTACTAATTAAAGTAAAGTTGCAGATTCCATTGTCACATTCCAAGAACAATACTTAAAAGGTAATAAATTGTAATTTAAGTCCAAGATTATTGCAGTTGTCCTCATATCAATAAAACATGTGTCCGTTTTTTTTTTCTGAGGGCCCGCTTAATGACAACACTCGGTTAAAAATGGAAACTATGGCCTGCCCCTCATGTTCGATTGGAGTACATGTAACCGGGTTCCACTGTACATGTATGTAATTGGCAAAACTGATTTTATATTGACAAAGGTGCACAACAATGCAAAACACACAAAGATGATTCCTGTAAAAAATCACAGTTCCAAGCAAACTGGGTCAACATTTTTATAAGGAGACAGAAGGTCCTGACATCCATGTGCTTGTCTTTGCATCTACATGAAGAAAATTCAGGCCTCTGCCATTATTTTTAAACAGCTTTTACAACTCTTTTCCTATTTAAACCCTTCAGCCCATACTGTAGCTTTCCCAGTTAAAATGGAAAGTACTTGTGTGATACTTGCATGCAAAGAACTGCACTGCTGCAATGATGTTCACGCACATGTAGAGCTGTATGCAACCCTTTGCCACTCACCATTTGATCAGCTAAAAGAAGAACTGTTTTTATACTAAACTTCCTGTTGCAAAAGTTAAACAAATCTTCTAGACTGGGTCCAAGGAGTTCCATGACCAAAACATTGTAATCACCCTCTGTGCCACACCACTTTATGATGGGAATACCAACTGTTAAAAACAACAAAACCAATTACAGTACAATTAAACACTCACAAATTATGGGATCAAACCATTGTTGCGAAAACACTGCTGCCTCTTTTGTGGCTAATTTGAAAACCCTTTTTTAGGAGGTGAAAAGCCATCAAAACAAAGATAGCTTAAGTTCAGTAACTGGTTTTGGAGTGAAAGGGTTAAAATTAAAACATTTGCATCCTAGGAGGTTATAACAAAATGTTGTCAGATCAAAATTGGCACATAAAGGTTCTACAGGGCACAATAATGACTGAAGAATTAAAAGACACATTGTAGATGCTGTGCATTACCATACCTCAAAACAAAGGAAAATAATAATTAAATCAAGGATAAAATTGAACCACAACAAATACTTGAAACTTCTTGTTGGCAATTTTATCTGAAGAGTGCCGTACACGCCGTGCGGTACAAAACTAAGTACATGTAGTCATAAAAAATTAATACCAAGTCGGATCTCATGTTGACACCCGACAAACTGGATTATAATAATAATTATTGTATAGAAATCCGAATGGGCCTAAGGGGGAGGAGGGCTCAAGCATTTTTAAAAATCTGGGTAGGGGAGGAGGGGGAGAGAGTAAATAAAAACATGAGACAAGATTTCTGGATCGCACTGCCGACAGAGATTTGTTGTTTACACTCTCAAATAATATTTTATCCTTTTGAAGAAGTCTTTCATCTTATTTAAAATTTGGCTCGTGGCACGAAGACTTCTCAGGATTTTCTCGCTTGCTCAGCTGCCTTGAGCTCATGACCTACAAAGCTCGTTCTGCTCAATTTACAGCTTTTCTGCTGGGAAACTCATGTTGGAGGTCAATATTGTGGCAAGTCCAAGTCCAGTAACATTTGCTACCGTTCTGGCCTCAAAGATTAAAAAAGATATAAAAAATACCATTTCAATGCAATGAAGCATTGCAAAGGTTAGTCAAACATTATATTATGATTTCATTTCACTTGTTTCCCCAAACATTGAGTGCCCGCTTCTTTGATTTTGTCGGCCATAAGGACGTTTAAGTAAAAGTTCACTAACGCATCGTTGCAACACATTCTGCTCCAAGAAGCTTCTGGCACAAGATCTCCTCAGTCACATCCATGTCTCAATGATTTCCTCTTACATAGTCTTTATTGTTGCTGTTCCATTTCTGCTTATTCGTTTCACGATTATCTGAGCTTGTATGGAAGCTGGTTGGGAAAATAAGCCTTCGATAGGCATCAAAGCGCCTCCCTTCTCTCAGTCCTCCCGCCAAAGGCAATGAAAGAACGCCAAAAGCTCCGGATTTCACCCAAATCGAACCTTAATGGGAATGTATCATTGCCCTGCGATTCTGAGAAGTTTTAGCCTAAGGGTAGTATCGAACTCAGCCAAACGCGATGCAAACAGATTTTTCAACATTCTCTTACTCTCCTCATGTCTTTTGAATTCCCAAAATCCCTGTCAGAAAATCAAAGTTTGGTACATGTACAGTAACAGGATACTGTTCCTTTAAAAACAATGAGCTACTGTCACAGCTCAGATATATGCAATACTGTGACAGAGGCCCTTTCAACCATAAAATTTACAGCAACATGGTACAACCAAACAGTGGCATACTTAAAACAGAAAGCTCCCAAATGGAATACATATAGCTGTAAATAAATATTGTTTTTATATCACATCACCAAAACAAAGATCAAACAAATGAATTAGCCTTAGAACAACAATCTTAGGCACAGTTTCAGAGACCAATGACATCAATTTTTGAGAAAACTTTGAATTCTGCCCTAAATATTTATTGTATGGGTTCATTAATGCACCAGTAATGTGTGGATGTCTAGATCACAAACAATTATTAAGTTCTTAGGACATAAAGACGAATAACACTTGAACGAAACTACAAGTTAAAAAATCTTATGCTAGAATGGATTTTGAGACGTAAGAAAAATTGCCTACTTCACTCACAATTATGCAAGAAATCAGTGAGCATTTCTCGACCCCCATAACCTTTTTATTTTGCAACTTGCATAAAATTAACTTACTGTTTGAAACATACACTTTAAAAACGCCACAGATGTGCTATAAACAAATAGCTTTGACCAAAATATTTAGACATACCGTTAAGAAGGAACAGTTCGTCTAAGACGACCTCATGCCTTAAATATCGGAAATGTCTTACCACCGCCCTGCATCATCTTGTAAAACTTTGCTTCAATATGTAACTGCGGATGTTTCGTCTTCACACATTCTAATTTGATAGCGACCTCCTCGTTTGTTGAGATATTCGTTCCTAAAAGAAACATAAACGCATTTCAGGCTAAAGACCACAACTGCGTGAACTTTTAAAATGGTAAAAAAAATCATAATAAGCGTACGCGTATGAGCAAATTAAAACGCGATTTACAGTATGCGAGATAACACTTAAGAAACGTACGAGCTTGTAAATTTCTAAGCTTATTAGTGTTCTGCTTCTCAAGGATTATGATTAATTTACCCAAGTAAATGTCTCCGAATGACCCACTTCCAATCTTTCTACCAAGGCGGTACTTGTTTCCAACCCGCAGTTCCATCTTTTCATCCACCCGAAAGTAAAACGATTGAAAATCAAAATGGTGTCTGTGAAGCTTTGGCTTTCGACGTCATGAAAAAAGTCAACAAGACTTCTGCAATCACCAAACTATTTCTAATGCGGGAATTCCCTTTAAAATCCGTTAATATCGCGAGGAAAGTGTTTTTGTTTCTTTGGACTAAGTCTGTGAAGTATGAAATATCATTGTAAATGAAGGATGGCTACAATTGTGCACGATTACTACAGAACCTAGGTTCCATTTCGTATCCCTTCAAGCCTTTCCTGTGGTCGCTGTGAAGGCTTTATTATTGTTGGCGTGAATAATTTAACTTCCGGAAATGTCCTTATTCGGCTAACCGCCGACAAGAGGTCAGTTCGTCACATCCCGAACATTTTCCGGGGCTAACGATAGGGACTGGGCTCTAGTAAGCCTGGCACAACAACGGGAAAAACTGTCAAAATTGAATCAAGAGCACTGAAGACAACTGAGGACAGGACTTTTTTTATCCACCCGTAAATATGGGAATTGAACAAGAAAGATTTGTGGATGTCAATCCAGAACTCGTATGCTGCATTTGCGCTAATGTTTTGGAAGATCCAATTGAGTCACCTTGTCGACATGTCTTTTGTTCAGAATGCATTACAAGGTGGCTGGATATGAGAACAACTTGCCCGACTTGCCGTCAGCCGTTGAGAAATTCGCAGATGAAACCTGCGCTGCCACTTCTGAGAAATATAATCGCCAAACTACGAATTCGTTGTAATTTCATCGAAGAGGGATGCAACGAGATAGTAGACTTTGAACAACTAGGAAGTCACGTTCGCTCATGCCCGTACGCTCCAATGACGTGCGAAAACGAGGGATGTCACGAAAGTTTTCCTAGAAAAGACAGCTGTCGACACAAGAAAGAGTGCCCCTTTAGACGAGTTGTCTGTACTGCTTTTTCTAATCGTGGCTGTGGCATGGAATATAAATTAAGTGAAGCAGCTAACCACAACTGTGTAGAGAGTTTGAAAAGTTTGGTCAGAGGTGTGTAAACTGGTACCGGTACTACAATCATGGACAAAAGTCTTGGGACACGTTTGCGTTTCTGGGGCGTTTTCCAATTCACACAGGTCCAACCCCTCCCCTCACCCCACAAACAATGTTGGTCGCGTGTATCCAGAATTTTTTTCCGAGTTTCAACTCTGTATAGGGTGGTGGGAGGGAGAACTGCAAGAAGATTTCAAAAAGAATGCACTGTTTTAAGAGGGAACCGAGAAATGACAGAAAAATATGAATATTGCAGTACTGTCCCAAGGTCTTTTGTCCAGGATTGTAGTGGTACAATTAGTGATTATTAGATTTGGCACCTTCACTTACCGTATTTGGAAGATGCAGGGCAAAACTAACTGATTCGATAGTCATTGCCCTAATTCCTTGCGAAGGGAGGGTTATAATCTTGTCAGAATTTGCATCACACGTAACTCCCATAGCAATCGGCTAGTGAAGTGTGATCTTGCTTTTGCCATAAATATCTCTCTCTATTGGTTAAAGCGAATCCAGTTGCCTAGCAACGAGGCAGCATTTAAACAAAATCACCACAAACCTGGCCTGGTTGTTTTAGCAAATGTCTAAGAGGTCCAGAAATGCTTTTAATGATAAATTTCAAAGGTAGAGGTACAGTGGAACCCCGCTCTGTAGACACCTGTATAAATTATAATGAACAGTTTTGTTTGTCCTAATGAAAAGCTCATATATTTTCTCTAAAAATAACTATCTTAAATGGACATTGGCTAATACAGTCAAAAGACATTTTCCTGCGTGCCGAGGCACAAACTCCCACAATTTATATCATCAACCCCACTTTACGGACACTGTTCATCTGGGGACTGCCCATGTGTAGGTTCTGTCTTATATTTAGTCCACCTGGCTGAGACACAAGCTAAAAGCATCAGTACAAAGATACAGATTCCATGGTCATGTTTCAAGAACAACACTTAAAGCTGGAAGTAATTTTAGTTTGAAACTATGATAATCGATCATGAGGTTTCTCCGGCATTAACTTGATACAGTTGCAATAGGCCTTTTGCATTAGTTGATCACGAGATCAACTTTTGGCAAACACAAAAACAATTCGCTTTTGAAAAATTTTGATAGCAAGAGCTGAAAGAGCATATCAAAATTTATTAACCTGTAAATTTCAGCCGTATATCTCAAAAGTAGCCATTGTAATGGCAGCCGAATGTTAGAAGGATTTGTCTGAGAAAAACAATTTTTGCCACCCAGTCACACTTGAATAGTTTTCCATACAAATCCTTGTAAATTTTGAAATTTTCAAACGTTGTTAAACCTTTCCCTTAAGCATTTATTTAGTTTTTCTGATACAAATCCTTCTAATTTTTGGTGGCCGTTGCAAATGCTACTTTTGAGATATATGGCTGAAAATTTGCAGGTTACCTAATTTTAATATGCTCTTTCAGCTTGTGCTGACAAAAGTTTCCAAAAACGAACTGTTTTTGTATTTACTGAAAGTTGATCAAGTGATCAACTAATGCAAAAGGCCTATTAAGAATTTAAGCAAGGTTTTCTCGGAAAAATATCTGCTTTAGCCGTTATATCTATAAAGCATGTAATCCTTGACATTTTTTTGAGAGCCTGCTTGATACAGACACCTGGATCATACAGACACCATAGCATGCTGTCCCCTTGGTATCCATATTAACCGGGTTCCACTGTTTCTTTAACGAAAAGTGGATGTGATTTGGACCATTAGCTTCAAAATAACAGTTAATATCTAGGTACAAAAACGTATGTTTCGCTTCCTACTTTGCAGATGAGTTGTATCAGCTTTGTTGGTCATTTGTTTGTTTAAAATATTTGGTTTTTTACTGTCAAAAGCCCAGAGTTATTTCCTTGACATATATATTTGAATTTGTGTTCAATACAGCTCGATCATCAACAAACAGCATGGCAGGCGGAAGTTCTATGGAAAAGGCTTTAAATCAAATTCTTTTCTTGCCACTTTATATATATGATTATCCTCAGTAGCACAGTAGTAAAGGAAAGACTGACTGAACAGGACGTGTGGGGTTCAATTCCTCATTAAACATTTTTTTCTTTTGTTATGGTTGCTTTTTTTTTCTCATATATTTTCTTTTCCCTTGTGGAATTCCCTTTCTTTCTACTTCTGGCCCTTAGCCTCTCCTTTGCGAGGCTCAGCAAGTCACATATGTCTCGTATAAAAATTAATAATGACCTTGTTTACAGGCAGTGACGAGGCAGCCTTACATGTAGCAGTTTAACCTAATGTCTTGACTAAACTCAACATATGTCAAAAGAGTTTACAGGTATCCAAAGATGAAATAGCTAAATGTCTGATTAAAACTGAATGGAAGAAATGCAAGTATATTCCATTAATATCGCTTGGTGGATGCCATTTTACGCACTTATCATTTAAAACCCTGTGGTGGGGAGGGGGAGAGGGAATGCCAACAATAGGTGGGGATTTCACAGCAGTCCATTCCCTCAGTGGAGGCAAGTACCTTTGCTTTAATTCTTTTTGGTAGAGACTGGGACCAAGTTTTGAGTGTGGTTACATAGTATTCTCCTCCTTGGCTGTAAAAAGGTGTATAATGTAGGTCATGCATCATGTTGTCTGTCTAATGAGAGGCATTGGTTAAGTAGATGAAAAATGTTCATCATCATTGTCATCTTTAAACAGGGTGTGTTCTCACAAAATGGTTTAAATTTAAGGTTGTGGGATTTGTAACAAGTTGAATTCTAGTCCAGAGCCTCTTTAATCACTATAGTGGTCATTAATCCATTTTAGTCCCAGTTTAAATCTGTTTAACCGTCTGTTCCAGGTCAAAGGATTGGTGACTTTTCCAAGTCATGACTCTGAGCTTGAACTTGCTAAAAGATTTAGTGCATGTTCCACTGATAAAATCAGCACATTAAGGTTTGCTATTAATAATGTGCCATCTAGAACTCTCTCAATACCTTATCAAGAACACCCTTTTAAACATATTCGCTTGGGTAATTGGAAATAATTTTTTTTTAATTTTTCTGAGGTAGAGGCATTCAAAAAGAAACAGTACTAATGCAAGTTACCCTTGCTTCATAGATGCTAGTGTTCTATGCACTGAATACATCTTACCAGCACAGGCCCACATTGAGAATAAGTTCTTAAAGAGTTTTCTTGATTTTTCCTCATCAGGTTTGGAAAGTAGGGTAGCTACACTTGAACAAACATTAACTGAACTGAGACAGGATATGCAGGAACTGAAACAACAGCAAGCAAGAACCAACCATGTAACACAGGAAACTAGGAATACTAGAAATAGCAGCGGTGGTATAGCAGGCCAGCAGCAGGATGGAGACTCTGGATTGATTTCATTGCTTTCTGATGATGAAGAAGAAAATGAAAACCAGCTGTGGACACCAAGAACAAATCTGATCCAAGGGATTATTGCCGATCCCGAAGGCTCAACTAGCAGTACATTAGTCAATCTTATTGCAAGAGATTTGCAAGAACTACAACAACAAACTCTTAACCAGTTACAATTAGATAGGACTCGTCGTCTGTCAAGAGCTATGCGGCAGTCTGCTTCTGAAGCTAGAACACACAGTAGAAGCCGGTCACCAGTTGTTAGGAGAAACAGGGAAATCTCTCTTGATGTGGATGGCACTCCTCCAAGACGACAGTCACTTCAAGCTCCTTCTAGTGCATGCACTCAGACTTCATCACGTAGTAACATCACACAAGAACAAGGTACCTTACCAGTCGTACATTCAAGAGTAAGAGCAATGATTAGGCCAACTAGTATTGAAGACGACGTTTCTAGTCAAGTGGATTCGGAGGAGAACATAGCAGGCTCTTCAGATGAAAGTGATCAACACCATACTGCAGAGAGTAGCTCTAGTGATTTCAATGCTGAAAGCCCTCAGTGGTCTCCAGACCACTCTTCTTCATGTTCTTCATCTGATGATTTTGGTGAAATGGATGGTTGGTGGAGGAACCTAGTTAACAGCTATTCCAGCAGATCAGCAACCTTAAGCAGTGATGTAACTTGCCTTAGAGCAAACTTTCATTAAGGGTAATTTATTCGTTGTTTTTGCCACGGTTTTGGTATTCTATATTTTGCCGTAGTACTTGTTGGTGTGCTCTACTCTATTCATTGTGAAAAGTTGCTAGAAAAAGTTAAGGCAAGCAACTACATGTATGATTGCGGTCATCAAGTGAATAAGCAATATTATTTATTTTGTCTATCATGATTTACCATTGTCGCACTTCACAGGATCCATAATTTTACAGATTCATTTTCATTGGTTTTTCTCGCAAAATATTTTTGGTGTTCATTGTCAGGTTGAAGTTGCTAACTCTGTACATTTATGCTGTAAACAATAATTATATTGCCATTACTTTGTTTTGAAAGACAGTTTTTTTTGTTTTTGGAATTTTTTCCTGAAACCCAAAGCAATAATAATAATTATTATTATTTAAATCAATTTTGATATATTTAACTCGAGGTTATACTTCTTTCAATTTGGTTAGTAGGGTGACATTTATACATTACACAACAGATGCAAAATTACTATTTCCAGGCCAGTCACTAAATTTTTACATTCTCGTGTAGACAATGTATGCAATTACGAGCTGGGCAATTGAATGACTAGAAAGTTGTTTTGTTTCCCTAAGAAAATAGGTGGGAGTCATACTGCTCATAGAAGCCTGCCGGCGCGGGAAATCCCCAGTGACAGTCGTGATAGGTTATTAATACAATCATGTACCCTGCAAATAATCATTGTGTAATGTGGCTTAGTTCATTGCAGTTTCAAGGTGTAAGACGGAACCCACCAGGAAATTGAGTAATTTTAATTTTTAGTGGACAAAAACCTTGTACCAGAATAATGTAAAGAATATTGCATTCTTTTTTACATTTTCAAGGGCTAGAGATGTAATAAATCATCTGTAATAACACCGAAGAAAATTTCTCGTGAAAGTCCGAGAAAGTGAAAGTCAAATTTCACAAGAATTGTGATTACACAGGTAGAATTCGGAAAATTTCATGTGTAAGATGTAATTTTGTGAAATTTGATATTCATTTTCTCGGGGTCCCATAAGAAATTTTTTTGGTGTTACTACAGATGATTTATTACATCGTTAGCCCTTGAAAAATGAAAGAAAGAATGCAATGTACTTTAAATTATTCTGGTACAAGATTTTTGTCCACTGAAAATCAAAATTACTCAATGTCCTGGTGGATTCCGGCTTAATGTCTTACTTTTGTACTTAAACTCACTGTAATATTTTTTCAACTTATACCTTGTAGCATATGATGTAGAAAGAGCTGTGAGATGCAGTACTACATGTATTTGATTCCATATTAATCTTTGTTTGCATTTGTAATTACTGGAGATTAAGGGTATTCTTGTGTTAAAACTTTCGCTCTTTTGTTACTATAAGGATCAGTCTCTGAGCGTGTCATACAAGCGCCAATAGTGATTATTTAGTAAGTAAATTAGTTTGTTGTTTCTTTGTATCGTGATCTACAAAGTGATTGGTCATAAGGAACAGTTTGTGTGCCGGTAGAGGGTTAATAAATGGTTTTTGCTGAAGGTGCATTAACGAACCGTTTATAAAGGAGAGGTTAAAGAAACAGTTTGTGTTGGAAAGGCCGCTCAAGAAGCAGTTTGTCTAACAGAAGCTTTACGAGAAATGTTTTGTGGGAAAGGACCACGTCTTTGGCAGAGAGGCCCAAGAAAGAATTTGAGCATAAAAGTCTTAAGGACGAATTTTGTTTGCATGCTAGAAGTTAAAGAACAGCTTGTGTACGAGATGCCCAAGAACAGTTAAGAAAGGAAGTTTTTAGAGCCTGAAGGAGACGTTTTCGTGCGAGAGCCTAACCGAACAGCTTTATTTTATATCATGTAAAGTAGGGACCGAATTAACCCTTTTTTGCGCTGGAATCTCATTTATTTGCCCAGGAATACATTCATCATCATAATCGTTATTTCATCAGGGTGTCACGTTCACAAATTGTACAGTGGTCTTCCAGTGAGCCGTAAGTTTAGAAGAATATTAAAAAATTACAGAAATAAAAAATTACAATGTTCTGCACAAACTCAAGGAACAAAGGGCAACAACAAACCGTCAAGTTTATTGTCACTCTCCGCCCCCCGAGTCCATGGAAAAACACTGCAATTAAAATTACATACTAATAATGAGTACGTAGATATAGAGCGTGAGCACTAAAAATAATGTACGCACTTTATGACTGCGCCGAAAGAGTATTGTCTCCAAAGAATGATTTAAAAAGGTCTAAGCTTTCCTGTTCTCTTGGGAGTTTGTTCCAGAGAACTGATCCTCTGTAGTGAAGGCTACATTTCCCCATCTCTAACGTAGGTTTAGGAATATACAAGTTAATTGATGAACGTGTGAACGTTAGAAACATTCGCAAACATATTTCTCAAATACGGTGGGGAAATGGTCATGAGTTATTTCGTACATTAGAACAGCAGGTTGTCTCATTATTCTATCTTTCTAGTACTTCCCCACCCAGTTCAACCAATAAATCTGTAGATCTTGTTTCATAATTTGATAAAATCACTATTCTAGCAGCTTTATTTTGGAGTTGCTGAAGTTTTTCTGACATTCCTTTCCCTATATTTCCCCAAACGCAGCTGGAGTAATCAAGACAAGGCTCAATAAGAGCTTTGTACATGGTTTCTCTATTTTTGAAAGGCATGGTTCGACGTACACGCCTTAGAACCGACAAGCCTTCTGATATCGTCTTTGAAATCTCATTAATGTGTGTTTTCCACGAGAAATTTTCATCAATTGAGACTCCAAGAGATTTTTAATAAACAGTCACCGTTTCTATGGGTTGGTTATTGACCTTAACCGTGAAATTATCTGACAGTAGTTTTCAAGTCTTGGACGACTCCCTATCAACATGTATTCGGTCTTTTTGACAATTGGTGTACGCTTGTTCACCTTAAGCCACGTCTGGGTTTTGTTAGATCAGAATTTAGTTTAACTTGTAAGGTATCACCATCTTCCAGTGCGCAAGTTAAAGTGGTGTCGTCTGCATACATTCTGGACCTTGAGTACAGCTGACATAAGGGAAGGTCATATATGTGTAAAATAAAGAAGAGTAGATCAAAGATTGATTCTTGAGGAATTCCACACGTCAACGTACAGAAATCAGAAAGTTCATCGTCAACTAAAGTTTTCTGTTTTCGCCCAGTAAGATATGATTTAAACCATGCTAACGTTGGGGACCTAACTCCATCAAGCTCGAGTTTCTGCAAGAGGATAGGATGGTCCATGGTGTCAAAGGCTTCTTTTAGATCCAAAAATACCATAACATACCATAATACCGTAAAATTCCGAAAATAAGCCCCTCCAAATATAAGCTTCCCAAACCGGTACCGCAAAAAACCGTCCTTTAAATCGCCCCTTCAAATATAAGCCCCCCGGCGGCTTGTACTTGGAAAATTGCCCTCAAATACAAAGTAAAACAAAGCAAAAACGGTAAATTTTTTTCCAACTATAAGGCTAGCCCAATCGATTTTGAAACGCAAATTTCCCTCCGAAAATAAGCCCTTCCGAATACAAGCCCCTCCAAAAATAAGCCCCTCAAAAAGGGTCTTTAAAAAATATAAGCCCCGGGGCTTATTTTCGGAATTTTACGGTACTCTTTGTCTATCTCACCAAAATTTTGCGTAAGCATTATCTTCAGTTCATAATATTTTGGTAGTTAAAATGGCACCTAGAGAAAGTGAAAACAATACTTATGCAAACTATTTGGGTGACAAACAAAGAGTAGTATGGTGTGTTATGGTATTTTCTGTAGTGGTCAATAGAGTGGTTTCCGTGGAAAACATTGGCCTGAAACCTGATTGTGACATTTATGCCGATAACGTCATAGCCTTTTGTCTTTATTTCGTAAATAAAATGCGGGGAAATGTCATTAACATGCGGAGGAATGTCAACACTGATGACGTCATTGCCTTATGTCTTCATCTCGTGAATAAAACGCGGTCGTGGGTCGTCGTGCTATTTTCAGGTGGAGTAATCTGTTGGACAGGTTTTCTAGTTATTTCTAGGTCGATTAAGGTCTTGGTTTTTGTTTGGTTCACAAAAAACTAAGAAAAGTATTCATTTGTTGATTCATGTTGTTGAAGGAATAAGCGCTAACTCGCATGTGACTTAAGATCGCTGGCTCGTAACGTAATAAGGAATGTTCAATATCCTGCCGCCTTCATTGTCCATTAAAGCGTTGCGGTTTTGGTTCATGTTCATTGATTTTTGGCAGGCAAATCGTGCATATTTAACGAGGACATTGACAAATTAGGTATTTCTGCCACGAAACACGATAGAAATGTGGCGGTGGAAGGAAAACAATGGAAATGTGATGGCGGTGAGGAAACACAATAGACTACTGCAAAGCTAATAACAACGTGTATTTGAAAACCTTTTCAAAGGATATCTCAGCCGGCCAGACCAGCATTCTTCAGGTTTACAGATTTTACTAAATTTTTATTAGGAATTACAATATCATATAGATGAAGAATGGAGTAATAGAAATTACATAAAAGGAAGATGCATAAATGACGTACAACATAAAAAAAGAAAGGAAACACTAATAAGGACATAGATTACAATCCATTTCGTCGGTTTAGGCCATTGAGTACAAGTGTCATAGCCTTATCTATTAAAATTTGATTTCCTCGCCTTACAAAGTGTTACTAAGTGTGGTTATGACATCATAATGAGATTACTGGGCAAAAAGGGGGTTGGTTCGGTCCCTAATGTACTACTTTGATATAAAGGTGTTCGGTCCCTTATGATAGTACTTATCAATTATATGTTAGACACTTAAAGGAGCAGTTTCCGTACGGGAAAAATTCTCGAGAAACAGCTTGGTTGGTGGAGGCCTAAGGATCTTTGTGTAAGTGGAAACTGGGGTATAGTATGAGTGGCAAGGCCTTGTTTAGGAGAGATTCTAGGGGCAGTTAGTGTCATAGAACTCAACGAAGGGAATTTTAAAGGAGAGATTCGAGGAACAGGTTGAGGAGTAGATTATTTAGTAAAGAATAAAGGAACAATCCCTATGGGAGGCACTCAAAGCGAGAATTTTAATTCATAGAGACTACTTAATGTGGAAAGGCGTAAGCCATGGAATAGGTTGCCTAAAAGAGACTCTAGTAACAGTTTGTGTGGAAAGGGCTAAAGGAAGAGATTCAGGTGTGGCTGTTTTGGAAAGGAAACGGAACAGTTTGCATGGGAGAGGCGCAATGAAGAGGTTACTCAGGACAGGTGCGAGAACAGCTTGTTTGGAAAGGCGTAAAGCACCGTTGTTTTAGGCGCGGAAAGCGCGAGGTGCAGTTTGTTTACGAAAGGTGCACGAAACAGTTTGGATAAGTGCAAGGTACAGTTTGTTTGGAACAGATGCAAGAAAAAGTTTGGTTGATAGAGGCTCGAGGTACAGTTCGTTTGGGAGAGGTGCCAGGAACAGTTTGGTTGGTGGAAGCGCAAGGTACAGTTTGTTTGGGGAGAGGTGCCCGTAACAGTTTGAGTAGTAGAAGCACGAGGTACAGTTTGTTTGCGGGGAGAGGTGCAAGTAAAAGTTTGGTTGGAAGAAGCGCGAGGAACAGTTTGTTTGGGAGAGATGCAGAACAGTTTTATTGGTAGAGGCACAAGGAACAATTTGGTTGGTAGAGGCGCAAGGAACGATTTGGTTGGCAGAAGCGCAAGGAACAGTTTGCTTGGGAGAGGTTGGTACTACAAGCGCGAGGTATAGTTTGTTTGGGAGAGTTACAACTAACAGTTGGGAGAAGCCCAAGGAATATTTTGTTTGGAAGAGATGCAAGGGACAGTTTGGTTGGGGGAAGCGCGAGGTACGGTTTGTTTTGGGGAGAGGTGCAATTAACAGTTTGGTTGGTAGAAGCGCAAACGTACAGATTGGTTAGGAGAAGCGCGAGTATAGTTTGTTTGGGAGAGCTCGACGTGCAGGGGACGGTTTTGTTGGTAGAAACGTAAAATACATTTTGTTTTGGGGGGAGGTGTTGTTTCAAGTGCAAGGTGCTTTTCATTTGGGAGTGGTGCAAGAAACAGTTTGGTTGGGGGAAGCGCAAGGTGCAGTTTGTTTAAGAGAGGCGTGAGGAACTGTTTGAGAGAGGGTTAAGGCTCAGTTTGTTTCGGAAGAGGTTAAAAGATCGGTGAAGGCTAAAGGTACGGTTTGTTTGAGTGAGAGGAAAAGAAAAAAAGAGTGAAAGAGGGAAAGGTTTTAGAACAAGTAACTTTTGGCACCATTTGTGTGGGAGATACACGAGAAAAAGTTTACCTAGCAGGGATCATTGATGCCATGATGAACAGGCCAAAGGAAGAAATTTCATGAAGGACACATAAGCTATGAACGATCAACAGAATGAATTATCATTGTTTATGTCAGGGGTGTTGTAAGAAAAATCAGTGCAAGTCATGTTACACAAGATTACTTCTTGGGACTTAGAGTTTACCCTGTCCCTATCCTATGGACTCCACCAATCCTGGTATCTAGTAGCACAGACCTCGACTTATATCGCTATGAAGTTTTTATAAAAGAAAGCAAGATAGATGGCAATACAAAACCATTTGTTTCAACCCTTACAGTGAAATACAGTCTTTTTTGCAATTAAGACACCAGTCGGTGTGTGTCGAGGTCATATATCCTAGCAATTTCTTGTCCTTACACAGTTCAATTTATTTGAACACCCCGTTGGGATTTATGCGCATTTGTTGCGCGAAGTTTGAAAACTGGTCAAACTATGGAGCCAACAAGTCCCAACATTTTTCTCTTATAAATCACGTTAAAATGTAACGAAAAAATGAAATTTTGTGTTTCTTTAACAGTTGTTTCCACCAAAGGTGCTGGGAAATGCGTGTTAAACATTGTATACCTTATATCAATGGCGAGTCTTAGGTTTGCGCTTTGACATAAAGTGACATCACTGCTAGACAGTTAAATGTAAAGTGGATAATCGTAGTTTCAGACTCAACTTTGGAGGTTCCGAAAATAAGGCCTGCAAAACAAATCTGACTAGTAGGAGATTCGAACCCTTGACCGATGCAATACCGCTGCAGCGCTCTAGCAAGATCTACCAATTGTGCTAAGAAGTCAACTGGGAGCTGGTCATTTAGTTGCCGGCTCATAAACACTTGAAAGGATGATGATGAAATAATAAAATACATATGAAAATATTATGATTGAACTGCAGGACGAGGTATTAAATACTGCAAAGAGGATCATGGCAGCTTAAGACCAACTTTGGCAGTTGTGAAAAAAAAGCTACCGCCCACACTACTTAAAAACCGCCAACGGGTTTGCCGGGTGTTTATAATTTAACGTGTTATAGTCACTTGTATAGTTCGCGTGTTACATACAAATAAATGTTGACGTGCGCATTACAATATAATGATTACAATAAAACTGAATGATCTATATTATAATATATATGAATAAATAAGCCAATAGTAGCTCTAGTTTGGGCTTCAGACCACTCTACACAATTGTCCCCAAAACTGAATGATCTATATTATAATATATATGAATAAATAAGCCAATAGTAGCTCTAGTTTGGGCTTCAGACCACTCTACACAATTGTCCGCACTTGATCACACTTTCAGCACTGCAGTAATGGAACTTTTTAGGTGGCAGTCTGGTGTAATTAAGTTTTCTTAAACTTTGGAGTCGTAATGATGGGAGTCTATTATCCGCGAAGCCAAGAATGTAGTTTCATGCCAGCTTCATTCAAAACAATTATTTGTCACCGTTTTTATCTGCATTCTCCTTAATTTGAGAATTTGTCAACCTTAATGGAACGTTTGTCGTGAATGTGATTCTAAATCTCTCTATTGTCACATTCGAGTCAAAAACTGTTTGCTTTTTCCCATGACTGATAACTGCCCAGCGTCCATTTTTTTCATTTGCATATATGTAGCTGAACCCAAATTGTCGTTCTTTTTCTCGTTGGGTCATGCAGTTTAGGTTTATCCACATGCATCCGGCCGGCCCCTTTCACTCGCTTAATCTGAGCATAATTGAACCTGGTGATGACGGTTCGATCATGCTCAGATCTAACAAGATTCGATCATGACTCGCGTAATGCATGGCTGTAAACAGTTTTCCCTGTGAAACGTTCATCCGTGATCAAATAAAAATTTTTCGTGTAAACGTGAATAAAGGATAAGCTGAAATTAGTGTAAGCTTTTCCTAACATTTTAATAGATCTTCATCCTTTGAAAAGGATTCAATAGAAACTAACGAGAAATCAAAAATCTCATTCTGCCAGCTTTCGCTGCCGTATTTCCCAGCAAGACTTGAACACAAGAATGACGACCCAAATGTTAAGTGCAAACAGGTCAATAGACTTCTTCGTGAATGCACTGACCGTATCGCTTCCTTCCTTTCTTGTAATTTGGAAATGTTTAAGCTTAAGGAATTCCACTACACGTATTTAAGCAGAATAATTACCGGGCGATAGTTACAGTTTCAGGGACCGGTTGCATAAAACCTGCACTTAAGTGCTCACTTAAGTAGATCACTGACGATCAATCCGTTATGGGCACACTTACGGGTGTTCCATGGAACGCACTTAGCACTCTCGTAAGTTACCGTTTTACGTGATAACTTACGGGCTCACTTAAGGGCACAAGTAACTTTGATATAGTAATTTATTAATGACTCACTCTATTCTTTTAGTCTTAACCATCGATGGGTGTAAAGAAAGTATCTGGTCGTTTCGAACACTTTTAAGCCTCTGAAATTCAGCCGGTTTTTCTGAGACACTGTTTTTATAAACAAGAAAGTGTGTCACCATTTAACTAAAAAAATCGACCAAGAAGTTCCGACATAATCAAAAACAGTTTATTGCGGTAATATCTGCACAGTTTCTAAACTACTCGTTAATGTTAAGTTTTCGTCTAAACAACTGCAAGTTAAGATCAAGCAGCTGTTCCTTCTTTTGCGAATTCTCATTTTAACTTCATACTCTTCTTTTAAATGCCCTTCATATACCTTCTCAATGTTCCTCTCTGTGTCCTTGTTCCCTATCAGTGTCGGAATGGCCGTTTTTATGCTAGAGACGTTGAAGTCGTCTGAGACGTTAAAGTCGTCTTAAGACGACTTTAACGTCTAGTATAAAAACGGTAAATAAGGCAGACGACTTTAACGTCTTCTGTTAAGTGCATCCGAACGACGCACTTAACAGACAACTTTAACGTCTCAGACGTTAAAGTCGTCTGGTATAAAGACGGGACGTGGTAAACTAGGACGCATTTATGCTCGACTCGCCCAGAGACGACTGGGACGAGTGCAAAACAACATGGCGGCCAAGAAAAGCATGAAGGAGTCTCGTGGTAGAAAGTGGAGTGAGGATGAACTTAACGAGTTTGCATCTGTTCACGCAGACGACCGAACTGAATTTGCATTAACTTTGGAGACTCTTGCACTCAAAAAGTCAGCTAATGTTCATATCTTTGAAGCCATTAAGAAAGAGTTAGATGCTCGTTTACAAGCGAAGACAACAACCAGTTCTAAGGAAGGAAAAGCAAAGGAAATCGATACATCAGTTGTTAAGCTAAGAGCAAAATATAAATGGCTGAAAGAGCAGTGGAGGAAAAATTTGTTCGCATTTCGCGGGCTTGAAGTTCATTTTTGGCGCCGCTTTAACTCGTGTCCAGTGTCTTCCGAGAGTAGAGTCTAGTCCTTTTTTCAGAAAAATCTACTTTTTTAAATAAGGTCGTCCCGTTTTTACACTAGACGTATATGAGTGCAACTCATCAAGTCCACTTTCGCTGAAATACGTTTGCATGCCATCGTTATTTTACTGCAGTATTTACCGGTAATAATTTTTGCATGTTCTACTATTTTCCCAAGGACGGCTTCAAATAAAGTGAACGTCAGAGGAACGGAGCGGAATTACGTAAATAAAAAACTTTTTTTTCACTTCTCAGTAAAAGATCTCGTTAACTTTAAGTAAAAACAGTGAGGATACAGGACCTACATAGGTCCCGTAAATTTACGTGCTATTGTTCCTGTAAACGGAGTTTTATGCAACACCCGCAATTTCTGTTGCATAAATGACACTTAAGTGGATACTTACGAAAATCGTAAGTGCAGTCAACCTCGTCGCCAGGGTGCTTTTCCCTGGCTTTGGAGTGGCGCCCTGGGGACAAGGTTGAAGTGCAGTCGCTTAAGTGAAATCCCTAAGTGGACCACGTAAATAGTTTAATGCAACTCACTTAAGTTACGAGTACACGTACGTATACCGTACCCGTAACTGTTACGGGCGTTTTATGCACTGACCGGGCCCAGGGGCGGATCCAGGATTTTTCTTAGGAGGGGGTGCACCACTAAGGAACTACTATCTTAAGTACCAGTTTTACGGCGTTTAACATTAAATTCTCCAACCTCGTCTCATGTTTTACTTCAACACCAATAAACCACAAATCTTTTTTTTTTTCAGAATACCAGTTGTATTAGAAAACCGCAGGTCATCTCGGGGGGGGGGAGGGGTGCGCATCCCCTGTACCCTCCCCCAAGATCCGCCCCTGAGTTTCTAATTTAGTAAAAGTCTTTGAGAGAATAACGATTATTTCAGTAACTATTTATGATTTTATCGTATGGAAACCAGGCTTCCCACCCAAGCCTTTTGAACTACAAGGTATCATAAAACGGGACGAGGATTCGTTCAATAGTTTTTGTTGTTCACAGATTACTGCTAGATTACTACCCATAAAGGAGAAGCATCCTCAAACAAAACAAAGAGCCAAAAGTAAGAAACATGAAGCAATTGGCCAAAGAAGAGCTTTTAACCTCGCTACTCCTAAACATCGGAATGCTTTTCCTTAGAAAATACACAGGTCAAGTTCTGATAACATTTAGTCAATACACGATCCACTCGTAAATAACTAAATAAATAATGATTTGGAGGTAGCACATCCACAAAGTGGTTCTTCGTCTATCTGATTCCTGGTTGAATTGGAATTTAGAAACGTTGGTGTTTAAGGAGAGGGGAAAACCGGAGTAACCGGAGAAAAACCTCTCGGAGCAAGGGAGAGAACCAACACCAAACATTCATTCATTCATTTATTTATTTACGCGATTAAGCTCAACTTAGTTTTAATTGCTGCACTATGTCTTGAATGATGTTTACAGGAAGTACGCAATAACCAGGATTTCAGTGTTTTGTCGTTCTTAAGCCAAGAACAGAGCTCACCCAACATGCCGCCGCTATCAGTAGCCTTGCATTGTGTCAGCTTAATAGTAGTTTAGTTCAAGGAGTTTTCAAGTCAATCTGATCTTCCTCTCTTAATATCCTAGCGGTCTTTTCAAGATGTACTAATAATGTTGTAATGATGCTGTCCACGACAGATAATCCCCTGTGACTGGCTTTTATACCCCTGAAATAAACACAAGGAAAACGATAATAACACATTGTAAGAAACAAAGTAGCAAATGAAATAATTCAAGTTAGGAGCTATCATAATCAATGTAGTTTTCGTTTACGTAAATTAGGATTATGCAACAGGTGCAACATTAAATTTCAGATATTGGCTCCAGATCTGTTGCATGTTACTTCACGAGGGAGAGGGATGTTCGACGATTTTCGGCGGGCAAATTGTCTATAACATTTGTGGGCGGAACTGAGACAAATCATTGTTTTTTAATAGTTTAACTGCTCCACCAAGATCTTGGTGTTCTTGCCACCGTCAATGTGCAATCCTGTGTATCCTATTCTGAGACCATACATACAACTTATGACCTTTCATTCAACGACCGAGTCCACCAAAGACGTAAGCAAGCCAGTAGCGGGGGAATTGTTCGTATTTAGAACGTTTTATTACAAAAAAGACTTCTTATGCCATAAATAGCCGCCTTAATTATGCAGATAGCAAGAAAATTTTTAAAAAATGAACACACTTTTCATTCAAGACCAATAGGCCAGATTCCACGAGTTGTTGAACATCTT